GCATCTCCAGGCCCCAATCACCGTGTCAGCTGAAGCCTCGTCTCAAGTAAATGACTAAGGTCATCGACACAGGGCTGGCTTAGGCCACCAAGACCACACCGCGGTCGTGGCTACCGACGTGTCCTTGGTTACCTCCCCCTTTATTTTTTCCTTTTCTCCTTAATTTCTATTTATGCCATTCCCCTCTTTTTTTATTTTAATCTTGATTATTCTTTTGGATATCTTCGTGGGCTTTTAGGGACCATATAAATAAAATTCACGTAGTGTGCCGAGATATATCAACAAAAACCCCGCCCACATTCCCGAACAGAGCTAGTTCGTTGACGGGTCCCGATTGTTTGAATATATACGGCGATGGAGAATTTAGGCAAGCATTGCCAAGTTTCTTCTAGCAATTTTTTTTAAAATGTGTACGACATTACAGTCTGAATTACATATGCATATTATGTTAAGTGGAGTGAGCTGCACCAGCCAGCGTTAGCATCGCTCTCTTTTTGTAGCGCTCTCTCTCTCGATAAAGGGCGTTCGCTGATCGGGTGACTGCTGCAGCTAATCAGTTGTTTCGCATAGCTCTAGCTTATCGATCGTTTTTAATCATTCTCGTTTGTGAGAAGGTTTAGCGATGGCTTCAAACCTTCATTTCAGTAATCGTTCGTTAGTTACTCTAGTTGTGAAATGGCTTAGAAATTGGCTTCAAACCTTCAATAAACAAAGTGTTGATAGAAAGACGTAGCGTTTGGCTTCTAGTCTAAGTCTAAGTATATTTGAATCAAATTTGTAACGTGGAAATAACATTGTGTTATGGGAAAATAAAGCTATCAAAAAGCTGTAGCGCAAAAAGTTGCCCAGTATAGAAGAATCAGCTTTTTTAATTCAGAATTGTTACCGGAATTATTCACATTCATCTTTTTGATATAATTAAAATGACTCAGTAATATTATTGTTCGAAGCAAATAATTTAATAGCCACTTAGATTTGTTGGTTTGATTAGCTACTGTAGATTTACATTTTAATTAGTTATCTTTAAACAAGATCAGGATATATTTCTGATGACAAACAATGTGGTAAATCATTATCCGAAATGTTTATGCAGCCCAAGTTTATGTTATTAAGCATCACAACAAATTAAGGTGAGGTAGATAAGGAAAGGTTATTAATCTCTAACTCGGTAGATCTAAAAAGTTTCTAAGAAGGCTTTGACCCAGATGCCGAAGTCTTTTCTGACAGAATACCCAGGAGTGATAAAGGAAGAACAATTTCTTCTTTATTCCTCTTGGTAAAAACAATTAATAACACATTAAGCTACTGAATTTCACTTGAATGGCTCAATTAGCCAAAGTAGCGTGTCCATCTCTACACGCTATTGCGTGACTGACCTTCATAAACATTTTGCATTCACCCACTGTTCTATTTTTCAGAAGTATCTATTTAAAAATCTAAGAGAAGGTCTGAGCTTTTCGAACAAAATTATGAGCATGAATTTTGGGTTAAATTGATCAAAGAGAGACACATTTCATTTTTAAATTAAATAATTAAATACATAAAAAATATATAATACTTAAAGTTAAAATGAACAGATACTTAAGGTTTAAACCTATTAAAACACATCTCGTTTTGTAGATGTTTAAATTTATACTAAGCTTACTATCTTAAGATTGGTTTAAGCCTCCTACTGGGAATCATCCTCTACCTCCGTGTTGTACTGATTACCCCACAAGAATTTTTCAAAAATTGTCCATTTGAAATCTTAATTTTAATTTCAGTGTTGCTAATTTGAAACTCTTAAGTCATAACAATGACGTTAATGTCATTACGTGAAATAATCCTAAAAAAAAAAAGTGGATGGAAAAAATTTAAAAACCAATCCAAATTTTACAAAATGATAGATGTGAAAGTTTACTTAAAATGTATTGCATTATTGTAACTATTACTCTATAGTAGGGTATAAAAATGACTCTGTTCTTAAATGAAATTTATGGAAAACAACGAGCGATTGAACAGCCCCGGAAATATTACGAAAATTAACAAAGAAGAGTTCCTTTATCCGAGTAAACTTACTCACATCTAAATTTCATAATAAACTTAAACAAATTTGTAGGGGAAATTATAACAGTTGAAAGTGAGTGTCAGCGGGCTTGGTCCAAATTTCTTGGATATCTTGGACCACAAATACTATCTAGCCAGCAGTGACTAGTGTACAGCCTGCAGCAAAGTATGAAAATATTTCGTCTTTAAACGTCCTATCTTCATAAGACTATCTTTACAGCCAATAGCATAGAAATAGAAGCTCCGTCACCGATTCTAGTTTATTAAAGCTTGTAAAAAATGTATTTATGTCTATATCTATAAATACATATTTTGCCAGAGACGTCACCGTTGATGCGACAAAATTATGATAGTCAAACAAATGTTCAACCCTTGAGCACGCGACTTCTACACTAAGAAAGAAAAAAAATCCTTTGAATAAATCGCAATGGAAACTGGAAAGAGCTTCTTGTTTTTACAAAAAACTTCTAAATATACGAAAACAAATTTCGGAATCGAATCCCCGTAAAATCGCAAGTTTTTTAAATCAAATTATGTGAATTCAAAAAACTATTTTAAATGTTCCTATAATGGCAAAGTAATGTTAATAAATAAATACATGTAAGTAATAAAAAAGCTATTATTGATGGAACAAATGTAAATAATAAAAAAATCAACCCAATGGAATTTAGATAAATCAAGAAAAAAAATTATACTGATTTTTATTAAGGCACAACTTTCCATTTTAGAAATATACTTTCTAAATAATACGGTGAGTATGATTTTTTAATTTCAAGGAAACTTTTTTCTAAGTGTACTCACAGGGTGCTTATGCATACAAACATTGAATTGGCGCCCAGCTGTCGGCAAGCTGAAGAATATTCTTGGTGAATTTAACGAGGGTGGAGAGAAATAGCAAAACATAGTTATGTATTTTATATATTGCCTCGCCCGACTGGAGCCGGGACTTGCTGGAGCCAGACAAATACGCATTTTAATCCGCATACAAACAAACTTCATACATATCTTTGAGTATATAAGTATTGAAGTAGAAAATAGGGGTGACAGTGCACACTGGGTCAATGGAAATTTTGTGAACGATTGTTTGCCTTGTAATCTATATGGTATAATAGTTCGATGTCAAAGATTTTTGTCTCGAAAAGGCGTGGTCGGATTGGTCTTAAAGTTTATCTGATTGTTGTACATTTTCCAATTTATGCCACAAATAAGCATCGATAATGGCATCAAAAACAACAATCTCAAAATTAAATTAATTAATTAAACAATCTCGATATAAAACTAAGCCAAACTAACTATAGTATAATATTTTAATATCGGATGCAAAAGAAAGTGTTTTGATAGTCAATTCGAAGTTATTTTTTAAATTAAAAATCAGAAGTCAATTGAAAACTATGCTAAGTTGGAACACTATAGCCCTCTAGCAGAAAGTGCTAAAAGATTTGAATTAGGTTTCTTTTCATCATAGTTTTTAAGTGAATAGGCTATAATGGGAACAGACGCACATACTTGAAGTTTTTGTTAAATAAAATCAAATCACATAAATTCCACATTACCCCGTCAAACATAAACATTTTCTGCTTCTAAAAATAAAGCTGCTATAACTGTTTGTATAAAGCACATTCTGTACAAATACTTACTACACGCATCACATCTAATTATATATCAATATATCATATATGTAAAAATATGTTAAGAAAGTAAACTGATTTTGGCTATGCTTTAAAACGTTATTTTTTATTGTATATGGATTCAAATAAATTAATGTTTTTGAGATTCAAAAGAACATTTCGTGTACATCAAAACACACATAAATATTTATCAAACCTTATACTGTATTTATAAAGAATACTAAAAATGCAAAAACTTTCCATTATTCGTTTGCTTTTGTACATCTGCACTTGTGTTTTAAAAAGCTATACATATAAATAGCATTTGTCGTGAAAATTGTAGTCAATGTAAAGGATGAAACGCTAGGCATAAGCAAGCTTAAACGAGGCTGGTATTGAAAGATGGTGCTGAAAAAAAAAAATAAAGTATTGAACTAAATGTTTGATTAAATGCAAAAAAATCATTTTCAGCAACATACCTTATAGATTATGGGCTTAATTTATTTTTTAAATTGTCGAATGTATTTTTAATCCCATCTTGAATATCATTATGAAGCTTTGTAACTTCGTCCTCCTTTTCGTAGTAGTAAACAAAGTAGACTATTAATCCAACAATTATAAAGATCACCAAGAACGCACTGATTATTGAAACAAGAACGTTGAGTGCGCAATTGAAGCAGCTGAAATGAGTACATTATAATATTATTGTAAAGGAATCAGTGTAACTTATTAATTCAAAATAAGTAAATATTTAAACGTAAAAAGTGGATTAAGCAAACATTAGTACTGAGAATGAGATTATCATGCATAGCTGTATATTTGTACACATTTGATGAATTGTATACTTCTTTTTTAGAAAAATGTGCTCGCCTAAATAACAAAGTGAGTTTAAATATAAAAAAATTTTAGATTATTTAAATACTTCCAGATTCTCAGTAACTTGCAAAACTAATGGTTTTGAAATTGTGATAAAATTTAATTTTTTCCCAAACTTTTTTAACTGGCAATTACTTTTTTCAGAGACTGAAGGGTTCAGGACACAATTCAAAACAAGACTGTAAGCCCCTGATTTGAACTGATTTGGTATGAAATTGTAATTCGTAATACTTTCCCATCCGAACCTTAATCATTGTTTCTTTTTTTAAAAGATTATTTTTTGCCATTTATATAGCTCAGTTTATATACATATATATGTATTTCCACAACTTAACTCTACGCTTTCTGACAATCGTAAATATACACAAAAGGCGAAATATAGTTGGAATTATTGAAAATATATATGGTGGTTACTTATAATAAAAAAGTTTTCAGCCCTTGACTAAAAGCGACTTCTGGTCACTTCTGTGCTTCCGCATTAAAATGTTATGTTGGCGTCCAGCTGTCGGCTAACTGAAAGATATTCGTGGTGAGCTCATTTACCAGGGTTGAGGAGAGACAAGTAGTAAAACATACTTAGTCAAATTGTCTCGCCCCAGTGGAGCCGGAACAAGCTGGACCCAGGCAAATACGCATTTAAATTCAGATACAGACTGATGTATGTATGTATGTATGAATGAAATGTATACATGAAGTTAGGGATGATAGTCTGGGTTAACAATGCGTAACGTTGCCCATGTGTAACAAGATAAGATATATATACATATATACAAGTAGTATTGTTATATTGTCATAAGGACATACTAGCTTATATGTTCGTCATATATTTCATAGGGGATGGTTTAATTATAGTTGTAGAATATTTTTGTATATTTTAATTCACTATTGTCTAGCGAATTTTTGTAACTTGTAAATTGCGGCTGCTCTTAGCTAAGACTGTAAATTTAACTGAAGTGAAAATTACTCTATTTACAGTGTTGAGAGAAAGAGATTCATATAATGAAAGGATGTGGATATTATGTTAATTATGCTAATATGACTTGAGCTTATTCTTATAGCACTCATTTCTTATAGCAAGCACAGGCACTGAACAAGCCCGAACTGATCCTAGCTGACTGGCAACAAACACGTACATATACATAAATACATACATATGTATATACGTACACGCAATCATAACGGGGTAACGGGGGTCTGCAGAATACACACAGACATATTGACGCTCGCGTCGATTATATTGATACATACAGAAAATGCTTGCGGCTGCTGATAGAAATGAGATCAGCATGAGGATATATTTTCGACTATAGCTTGGGTGTTTCTTTACCGATCTTGATCAAATTTGGGAGGTTGATCAATAATATGCATATGTATATTCTGTATAAATTAGAGTCTGCCTTTAAAAGTGTAGCATTCATTACTATCGGAAATTTAAATGTATCGATAATCGAAAAAGGGAGGCAGTTATCGATCAAATAAAGCAACCTTAATCTGCGCCTGGTATACGAGAACTTATATATTATATTCGACAGAAAAAAAACCATAAGCAAAAAATTAATTAAATTAAAAATAAAATTTAATATTCGATTTAAATTAAACAAATTTAAAATATCCATCAGATTCCTGGTGGTATTTAATGTATAAGTATTAATACAAGTATAAGAGCCAAAGATCAGGACACCTGCATATATTCTCATTCCGTAGGGCTGCTTGTGTTTTTGATTTTGCTTGCATACCTAATGCATAATCTCGACAATACACGCATACAAGCATACACACACGGGGACACGCATACATACATACATATGCACTCATTTGGGCGGCAAATCGGAATTAGGCATGGGCAGGTATGCAGGTAGAAACGGTTGATTCTATTTAGAACTCCAATGCCTTAATAAGCTGCTGCCTGTACGTAGTATTTGTGTCTGTGTGTAAGTATAATGATGACATATATACACACAATATATACAAATGTTTACTGTAATTTACGACTATGATAACATGCAAAACAAACTGTTGGTGCACTAAATTTAAAGTATGTTTATATGTATGTGTGTACATTTAAATTTTCGTATGTATGCATGTAAGTATCTGTGTGTGCACTTGTTTAGCTACTCATTCAACTGTAATGCTTGTATCACTTTCACTTTACTTGTGCACATTTTATATGATATTAGTGTTGGTAATTAAATTAGCTTTTAAATTTGTATGTGCAGTCATCCCCTAGACACAAAAGCTCTAGAAAAGTGCTCGATGGGTTGGGCTGAACATGTTTATACATGCATGCATACATATATGTATGTACTTAAGGAAGTGTTTACGCACATTTACATATATATTTATATTTATATGCACATACATTTATATACACACACACAGGCAAAGGGCAAACAAGTGTTTTTTTATGTAAACTAAACTTACCAGCACGCTACGTTACCAGCCAGACATTTACACATTTTGCTTTCGTTTTTAGGTTTGCTGAAATAAATGTTAAATTAATAAACAACTTGTATTATATTAATTTTAATGCTTATTGCGAACTAACGCAGCCGCACACAACCTACCACGTCTGAAGTTGGAGAGAAACTGAAAACAATTGGTGTCTGGCAGCTCTCCGACTGCGGCGACAATTTGCGTTCTGTGAGACGAGCGAAATGTGTGTGAGTGAATATATTTATACATACGAGCATACACACATAAGCACGGTTTACTGATCTAAGGCAACTACTCATTGTTCGCAGTAGCCGAACACAGTACGCTACTCACATAGACACGAGCCGAAGTAGCCGCAGCAGCTGCTGCTGCAGCGAGAGAGAGAGAAAATAAACTCAGTCGTTGAGTTGCCTTCTACTTGACAGATTCTCAACGCAGTATTTTCAAAGTACATTGAGAAAAAATGTTCTGTACATTTGATTATTCGAGTAAGGTTGTCATAGATCTCGTTAACTATTGGCTTAGTGAAATATTTATTAATATTTATTACCTTAAAAAAAAGATAGAAAAAACTTAATTATATTTTTGTAAAGCACATAAACTTGAAAATTACAATTGTTAAAATATCTCATATTTATATTGTGTGGTTAGAAACACAGTTGCTAGATGTAGTACAATTGTACCAAAAATTGTTTACCAAAATTATAAAGTTTTTGTAATTTCTGTATTTTTTAAACAATTATTTAATTGTTATTAAATCTAAATTGTGAAATAAATAATATTCCGAAATTATTAATAAAGAATACCGCTCTTTTGATTTAGTCAGCGGAAGAAAAAATATTCTGAAAATTAGTAAATTTAAAATACAAATACGTATGGTACAAATAAAATGTTGGCCTTGTTGGTTTCAGAAAACTTAATTTGTTTTATGGCACAAAGTATTTCCTTTAATTTATAAACGGTCAGGGACCTGAAATAAGTGTTTTAATGCTTGCTGTGCATAATTTATTCATTCTTAAATTAATAATTCAATTGATGATTATTCTTAAATTCCATTGAATATTAAATGCAAAATTGAAAAGATCGAAATTAAATCAGAGCTTGAAGAGAACTCAAACAATTTTATTAAGACCGGAATAGCCAAAATATTATAACGGTACAGTTTCGGTTGTGAGTGAGCTATATATTATATATAAAATACGCGTAACGAGTAAAGCTCGTCCGGATACTTTTGTAAACAAATGGTTAATCTCAGAATGATAAGACAGTGGAAGACGACTCTTATCGCGCAGAGATTATAAAGTTTTTGTATACAAAAAATCATCGTTCGACCGATTGTTCCAATGGCTGCCATATGATATAGTTTACTAAAATACCAGAACTGGAACAGGAAATTATAAAAGCAGCGGAAACTGTAATTTTCACAATATTTATATTTTCTATTATACCAGTTAATTGTTGATAGCGAAATAGTAAATGAAAAGAAAATAGAGGGACAAAAACGTTTTTACTGATAGAATTTGCTCTCTAACAACAAACTGTGTGATATGTTGTTGTTTATTTAATAAACAGTAATTTGTTATTGCATGTAAGGATGTAATTCTTATTTCTAATACTCATATTATCGATTAGTTAAGAGATTATAACGAACTTTCAACTTAATTATTAATATAGAGTGCTGTTTATATATGAATTTTTATTGGTGTTTGTTTTTAAAACCTAACTGATTACTTATCTTAAAAAGATCTTATTTATTTAAATGAATTAAACAGGCAACTCAGCATCACTCACAGCAGTAAGTTACTCAATAAATAAATTCGAAATGGATTTTGGGGAGGAATTAAATGTTATTGATAATGGCTTTCGGTATCGTAGAATAGAGTACAAATTGAGTTACCCATTGATAACCGGATATCGTATAAAAGTTTGAAACAATACAGAAATTTCTACAGGATTTTAAGTGCATTTCCAGTGCATAAAATGTAAATTACAACTCAAATAAAAAATGATTAAGGAGGTATGTAAAAATATAAATATTAATTACGTGTACTTTAAACAAACATTACTTAAAAAGCCAACATGGAATTAAATTAAACTTTTCGGATTCCGGAAAAGAACAACTTGTGAGGAAGGTTTTTAAGCTAGGTTGCATGATTTGCTGTATATATAGATCTGAAATAGTCAAGCCAATTTACATTTATTTTCATAGAATGATCTATTAGACTTAAGAAATAGCCAAATGCTGGATTGCATTTTCTACAACTCATTTGGCTTTGAACATTGTTCGTCGATCCCTCGATCCATCCCATTCTATCTGCAAAGCTCTTTAAAAGTGATTCTTGATGCTTGATATTTTTTTTCCCCAATCCATGCAACAATTGTTGGATAATTTTACAGTTAAATACCCTCAGAAATCTTAAAAATATTTTGTATTTATTAAATTTAAATGTAAATATTACCTTTTTTAAATTAAATTTAATTTAATTCCTCTTTTATTTTTGTGTTTTCCTATATTTTTAGTTGACATTAAATAAATAAATAAACTTAGCTTAATTTAATTTTAATTTGTATTTAAAAAGACAGTAATTTTATTTTCTAATTGTAAGAAGATCGGTTAAGAAATCCATCTTTGTGAGCTTTAAAAAATGTAACTTTTAAAGAAACGGTGCTAAACATCGAAATATTTGCACTATAACCAAAATACTTCACTTTTATCCACTCTTCCAACTGTTTGTAGTAAGTGAGAGCCTGAGAGAGAGAGAGAGAGAGAAAGAGAAAGAGTGCTTATAATTGGAATGAGTGGAATGGATTGCATAGCATCTGTACAGTGTTGTCGTGTTGGCCATTTATCGCACTGATATGCCATATTTCAATTTGAGTTAGCCGCTAAAATAAGCCAAAAACCAATGTCTAAACATCTATCCCTTGTCAACAATTTCGGCGATCCTAACTAAATATTTCTCTTAGGGCAGCTAAGCGCTTTTGAGAAAGACCCAGTCGCCTATTCAAGAAAAGGATATGATAATAATAAATAAATATTCTATGTTAAATAAAAATAAAATAAAATGACTACAACACTAAGCAGACAAAGTCAAATCGACTAAAAACTGACTGCATGCAAAATCTGTTCGATTGGGCACATTGACTCTTAATTTAAAATGTATCCTCTTTTTGTTATTTTCACTTTTTTGTCCCTTTTTTGTAGTTAATTGGTCCATTTGCATTTGAGTATGGAATTGACGTTTATCGGCCACCACCGGAAAATTTATGGAGCGGACCAATTCATCTAGCTTACGAGTGGAAACGGGCTGGCAGAGCTGAGTGCAAAATGTAAGCTATATTTTCTGAGAGAAAAAGTGGGAAATTGTTGACTAAGAAAATATCTGATCCCGTTTAGAGCACAGATAATATTTCCATTTTTTGACACGACGTTTAAATTATTTATTTAATTTTTTCCTATTCATAATGAATTATTTAAAATTCTAATATTTAAGATCTGTGATCGATAGTCAAAATAGTTACGCACGAAAAACTCCTTATAAAAAAATGGTATATACTTCTCATTTATTTCGATTTATTTGGAATTACAGGATTCCTAAAAAGAGGTAAATGGCGCACAAATCGACTTCAAAAATCGTCATGTCATCGGCTTTAGTAGCAATACCTTGTGCTATCGATGAATGGTTCTTTGAAACTGGAGCCCTGATATAATCGATAGTTTTAATTATTACCCGTCTTTCGGCATCACTAATCCCTGTTTATTTCCCTCCTTATAGTAATGGAAACAAGCACTGGAATCGAAGATGAATACGGGCACGAAGGGAATGTGGAATATATTTTGGAAAATGTGCTCATGCCTGACGATGGCAGTCCAGAGTTTAAGCACCTGCAAGATGAATACAATTGTCAGCTGACTCTGTGTTGTAAATGCACGAGTAATTATAGTTGCAAAGACAGTGCTGTTTGTTGTCATGGCGGTGGCCTTGAATACAACCCCGAATATGGGGAATTGGTGTTAATCACCAGTGCAGCCAGAGAATTTCCCACTATCGTTGAGTGCAATGATCTGTGTGAATGTGACCAAAGCCAATGCAGAAATCGACTTGTGCAATTTGGACCAAGAAAAAAACTGGAAATATATAATTCTCCACTGTATAAATCGAAAGGTTTGCGCACAAGTGTTGCAATACCCCGCGGAGCTTTCATCTGTGAATATGCAGGTGAGCTTCTAACACTGCCAGAGGCCCAGCGACGACTCGAATTGATTGATAAGAACCCGATTAATGAATTATATATTATATCTATGTGAATACGCTAAACCCAAAAGTCATAAGTCGAAGACCAATTTACTCGAGATAACTATTGTGGATCCATCTCGACGTGGAAATATTGGCCGTTATTTGAACCATAGCTGTGAGCCAAATTGTGAGATTTTGGCTGTGCGAACAAATTGCCCAATTCCAAAAATTGGTAAGCGATTTGAAATATATAATATATATATTTATAACAATGTTTCTTTTAGCAATCTTTGCCAAACGAAATATAAATGTGAACGAGGAATTATGTTTTCATTACGCCGGAGAAAACTTTGACGAGAGGAAAAGCAGTGGAAAACTCTGCCTGTGTGGTGCATCAAATTGTTGCGGATTCATGCCAAATACTAAAATTTAGAAAATAAATATTTGTTCACAGCAGCAGCAAACAATTATTAATTTAAATTCTGTGTATATTTGAATTTGGCGCCGCATAACGTAGTTGATTGAATTGTAATTACAGTACATTATGTTAAGTGCAGTGCAGTTGCTAGCGATAACAGCGCGCTCTCTCTCTCTCTCTCTGCACCATGCTTAACAGCCGTTTTGGCTGCCTTACAGCACAGCTGTAATTAATCGTATGTTTATGAAATACGTAATAATGAAACATATTCTACAATTTTTATTTGCCACTATGCAAACAGCTGCTTAACAGGTCGACACCTTGTCTAGTTTTTCACTTTTTCCATACTAAGTCAAGTGTAGTGCAGCCGACAGCGTTAACAGCGCTCTCTCTGCAAAGAGCCTTCGCTGATCCACCGGCTGCTGCAGCAAAATATGCCAGCAGCGAAAAATTAACATTACTAATTCGATTCGTAATCCCTGGGAACGCACACCAGCATATTTCAGGCTGAGGTGTGTGCGATAGGAAGATGTGCGGACTTCAATACAGAACGTAACTATCTGAATACGGATATATCCATCCTATCCGATAGTCAAGCAGCATTGAAAGCTATAATGGGGACTAAGATAACATCGAAGGTAGTCCATGAAGTTCGTTCAAAGCTAGACCTACTCGGGACTCATAACAGGCTCACCCTACGATGGGTCCCGGGCCACAGGGACATAGCGGGAAACGATGCGGCTGACAAGCAAGCAAGAATGGGGGCAGGAAGGCCCCTAACAGGACCAGAACCGTATTGTGGCATAGCGAGACACACTATACGACTGGAACTTAGAAACGAGGAGAGACAAAGACGGCATCAGAGCTGGTCGGAGGCAGTGGGACTCCGACAAGCCAGATGTCTCCTAGGTGGTTATAATCATGTACGATTTAAACAAATTATAACCATGAGAAAGAACAGCCTTAGGATACTCACCGGTCTATTGACAGGACACTGTAGACTAAGGAGTCACCTGGCAAAACTGGGTATATATAGTTTGGGTTTTTGTGATAGAGAGGAGGAATCCTCGATACACACCCTGGCAGAGTGTGTCGCCTTAGCTAGAAGAAGAAGAAGCCTCCTAGGGGCGCATGTTTTGAAGTGCAAAAACATAGAAGACCTCAACCCAACAAAGATCCTCGTATTCGTGCGGGAGTTGGGGCTGATGGAAGAGCTATAAGCTCAGAAGGGGGCACAATAGATCTCATAGGTCGCGGTGCAGTTTTTCCCCCTAGTAATAATAATTCGATTCGTAAGCAATAACACTGAGCAGACAATACATTGAGGCGTCAAATCGACTAAAACTTGCATTATGTTTTTTTTTATGAACATGGGCCCTATTCTGTTTCGGGTCGAATAGCCGAACCGGCCGAACGCCCCTTATCAAGAGAGAGAAAGATAGAGCGCTGCACAAAAAGAGCGCTGCTAACGCTGGCTGCTGCAGCTCAAACTGCACTAAACATAATGTGGATATGTAATTATAGACGAACAATAAACTATATATATTAAGTCACGCAGGGCTCCAAATTCAATCATGTTAAAAATCCAAAAGCAATTAAAGTTCTTTCCTGTTGCTGCCAACAATTTCCAAACTAAAGCTTTCAAAAAGTAACAGTATTATTTTTTTTTATTTATTTTACAAAATTATTACTTAGCAATATGTACTAAGCATAATGAGTTATTAACTTAGGCTTTCGACTCGGGAATAGTATTATTTGATTGATTACAGTTTATTTTGAATATCAGTTTGTAACGCGGGCAACTTAATTGATATCCATTTCTGCAATTCGAGCAACGAGCTCTTCTTTAATTCGTGCAGTGTATTTCCCAAGGGCGTAAATGTGCCAGTGATGCCCAATTTCTGCAAGGATTCAAAAGTCTCCCGTCCCCATTCGAGGGGAACCAAAGTATCCCGCTCCCCGTGAAACATGCGGAGTTCGGGAAGAGTTCCATTGGCTGACTCACGACTGGCCAGAGATTCGTAGACCACAGATTGGCGATTGAGGAACGAGGAGAGGGCAAAGACCCCGGCCAGATCTGTGTTCAGATGGTAACCGGTGTGCAGAGCGAGAGCACCACCCATCGAGAAACCACCGACGATTATGCGATTCAGGGGTATTCCCTGATCCACCTCATTCTGGATGAGTTGCTGGACGATATTGTAGCACTGAGACATGCTCTTTTTGCTCTCCATCGCTGCAATATTAATGGATCTCCGATCGAACCACACATTCGACAGCTGGCCATTTAGTGGGGTATATTTCTGGACGGGAGCAGTTGGATACACGATTCTTATGTGTGACAGGTCAAAGTCTCGGCCGAGCAGAAAGCGAACCCATTCCAGTAAATTTGGACCGGTATCTCCGGAACCATGGAAAAATATCACAGATGCACTGTATTTTCGTATCGTTGATGCACTCATTATGCCAGAGTTCGTCTAAGTTATCAAAATTCCTGGAGTGATAAGCAACTAAAGAAATAGCATTTATAATATTCTATTACCAGCGACTCAACGAGTATAAAATACCAAAATCGAAATACTGCAAATCTGCCCGTTTCCTTAAAGAAAACTAGCTTGGCGTTGCCACTCCGATGAAATAATATGAGTCATTTAGAACATATTTTTCACGGCAAATTTATTTATTTAAATTCCACTAATAGAAGATAAATTAAATCAAGATAGTCGACACAGAAAATATATTATAAAAAAAATAAATAATTAAAAGATGTAATCTAGGTATCTAACGCAAAAGCTGCAAAGAAAACATTTTTCTTGTAGATCGCAAACCATTTAAATTTATTGGTAATTTGTTTTGTAAGATTTTCAAAAGGCCAATATTAATCATTATTGGCGTTAAAATGTATGTCTTGGAGTCAAAAAATATGTGCATGAATGTCTTTATTCTTTATTATATTATTTATAAAATATTTTTGTTGTTAATACCGACAAACATAAAACCTCAAAGCAAACGAAAAGTGTTTGTAACCTAGAAAAACATGTTTTAATTTCGAAGAAAATAGACAAAGAAATATAAAGAATTCTCACATTCCTGCAGAAATTAGGATTGATGGAAAAGCTATAACTTTAGAAGCCACAATATATATATAAAAGAGTGCAGACCATAAAGCCCCCAAATAATAATATTAAAAATAATCCGATCGTCTGCCAACTCAAAATTAACCCGACAGTGCAGCTCCATGAAACACTTTCTAGTATAAACATATATTTGTAAAGTGTTTTCTCATTTTCAGCTTAAAAATATAATTGATAAGAATTTGCTTTAATCACTTCGATTCCTGCTGCTGCTGATTCCTTTCCAGTCTATCGCGTTTAATTTGCTGGGCATTCAAATGATCTTGTACGAAACTCTGAAAATTCTGTTCCTCTGCTTTGGATTTTGCATCGCTTTCGATCTCCTCATCTGCATCCATTTGCTGTGGCACAATAGTCGGCGCCATGAGGAATATACTGTTGTCCGTATTGCTTGGCGGATCCTGCAAATGAGAACTTACTTTAAACATGAAGTAATACAACGAATAGGAAACATTTCCAAAATACTCTAATACCAACGGATAATACTAGCTGACAGTATGTGGCACATAACAGTGGGGACTGATTTTTGAACGAAGTTGCTAAAAATCAACTTTCCAAATATTATAACTTTAGCTGTAAAGTTTCGGATGATGTAAGCTTTTTCAATTGTTTGGGGCGAGAGTGGATGTGAAAAATGGGTTATCATATCAATCTTTGGAGAACGTTCCTAGTAATCCACCTTCCATGTCTGCTAACTTTAGCTCAAAAATTAAGGAAATATAAGCTTTTTTGGACCAAAAAATGTACCACATTCTAAAGGATGTTACTAGCAATATACCTTTCTAATTTGATCAATTACAAATTGTGATATATATGGTTTAGTCGATCTATAAAGGGAGCTACCGGGAACATACTATCAACATTTGGTGATTCTAGCTTACAATTTGTGGAAGATATACGCATTTCTGATTTTTAAGCGCGTGGTCTGAATATGTAGATGCCGATCTTTGGAGGAGGTTACCAGCAACTTATGTTCCACATGAATATCTTTAAAATTGTGGAAGATATGCGATTATCGATTTCCTAGATTAGAGAGATCCCTATCCATACACTTGGAGAAAAAATAATTTCTAAAAAGTAGAAAAAATTCTTTCTTAAATACAGAAACAAGTAATGCGATGTACGCCTCGGTTCTTATATTAGAGGTTAGTTGCATTCACCGAATCAAATCGCCGTAAAATCATAAGTTCTTATAAAAAACACTGTGAGACTTCTTCATAAATTTTACAAATTTTCTTTCTGAATAATAAGTATGGCGATTTACTAAAATGTGGGGTGATTGTTTCTCTGAGTGTAATAAAGAATACTCACATTCAGATCCAGGCCCATGGGCACCGCTGTGCCCGCTGCGTCAATGTGTGCTGCTGGCTGTGACTTTACCTGCTGCTCGGCGAGGCGCTGCAGCCGCATCTTCTCATAGACGGGCTTGTAGTCCTGCTCATATTCGGCGACACAGTCGAGGATGCGGCTCATTAGTGGGCCATAGCCGACGCCCGTTTTGGCTGAGACGCCGCAAGTAATAAGATGCTCGTAGAAGGTGTCCAGCGTTAGGGACATGGTGCGCGTCAGATTATTGACATAGCTGTGCTCCTCCTCGAGCGCATCCTGGAACACCTCAAAGTCTGTCATCCACTCTTGCACAAAGCTGCAATCCTTTATGTCAATCTGGGCAAGTGGGGAAAAGCAGCTGCTTATAGAGAATCTCATTTAGAGTCATTTAGCACCACTCACCTTGTTGAGCGCCACCAGGAAGGGCAAACGCGTCTTGTACAGGATGGAGCAGGCGTAGAGCATGTTGGACATGAATGTGGTGGGACAAGCAGAGCGCACCACATCCATCACATAGACCACAATTGTGGGAAACATGGTCGCCAGTCCCTCGGTGATAATGCTCCCAGATGCTGACCAATTGAACACCTCAATTTGCCCCGGTGTATCGATGATGCACCACTTGTGACCACGTTCGCCGGCACGACGCACCAGCTCCACAAACTTGGGCATCTTGGTTGTGAACATATTCAGAGCAGTTACGATGCCGCCATTGGGACCCAGCTGATACTGTTTCATCACCTCCTTGTAGTTGACTGTGTCGCGTATGTCGATGTGCGCCGCATACGGAACTTCCCGGCACGCCGGATCCAGATTCACCACGTACGGATTGAACTTCGCCTGGGCATGCTCGATCAGGCTCCGTGTGAATGTTGTCTTCCCGGAGCCGGCCATGCCGAGCACAATGATGCAAACGGGCGCATCCCGTATGCCCTCCTCCAGTACCAACGCATCCAGGTTAATGTCATCAATGCTGGACGCTGCTTTGCCGGACATTCTTGCTGCAGTCTGTGGCAAAACAAATACACATGTTGAACAAGCATTCACATTAATACGTACTTATGTGCAAGGTGGCAACACTGGCAACGTTTGCCATATTCAGCGTTTCACTTCACGTTTTAAATTCCCCTTTTTTCTAACGTTACCCTATGCAGAATAAGACAACTAATACAGATAACGACACTGTGCTTGTACAAATATATATTTATTATTTATTATCTGTTAATGCCAGTAATCAGATCGAAAAGTATGTCGTTTTATTCGTTTGTGGGACTTAAAATATAAGTGTGCTACCAATATGTTGTATTTGGTATTTTTAAAGTCAGATCGCTTTCTTTAGCCTTGTTTTGTTTTTAAAATATTTTGTTCGAAATTTGAAAATCGTATGGAATAAAATTGACGTTCTATGGTCTTTACCAGGGTAAACTTTTCTTAGAAGCATTTCAAACTATCTTCGATGAATACACATTTTTTACACTGTCGCCCATTAAAATAAATTGATTTTTGTTTCGCGCAAACAATCAAAACTAAACAGCTATTCATATAATCCTCACAAACTGTTAGTGTGGCAACGCTGGAACTTTTGTGTAGATTTCAGTTCTCCTGACTGCGTACCGATCGTAAAAATCCCGCTCGCGGTTTGCGTATAGACTTCAAAGCATAAATTAATTAACATTAAAATACATACAAAATAAAATAATTTTATAAGTCAAAATTGGATTTATGAAAATTTAATTGCTGACCTATAATTGTATCTTATCTGTCCAAGGAATACCCATATTAGTGTTTCAGCTGTGTGGCAACACTGCAACGAGTTAGTTGAGAATTGCTCGCGGTTGCGGTTGAGTGTGCTACGAGAAAAATAAAAACAAACGGTAGTTTTCCCAACTTGTATTCTCTTATTTTTAAATACAAATTTGAAATTTGTGCTCGTGCTAAGATTGGTGTAACCCAATTGTTGGGTGTGGCAGAGATCCAAGTCCATTTAAAATGTGAATAGCAACTATAGAAAAGTACCCGAATCGCTGTGACAAATTTATCAGCTGTTTTTGGCACGCACGCACACAATGAAGATTTGTCTTCATTTGTGTATACACGTGATAGTTTTTTTTTCTATATAGTCTATTTCGACCCAATACTGATAACATGCGTAAAACAAGCAAATGCAGATTGATATTTGCATAGTTTCGTTTAAATGTGTGGTTGGATTAATTTACAATTCTTTTTAGTTATTCATCAAACTCTTGACGAAATCAACAAGTTGTTTATTGGACATGCAAACAATTGGATATGCATATGAATTTGTGTATGTGTGCACATGTGTGTACGCGCGTGTATGTGTGCACGTATGTAGATGTCTTCTTCTTCATCGCTTACCCTCTCTCAAAAAGCGTCGATTACTTTTTATAAATTAAACATTCACTCACACAAAAGCATAGATAGCCACACGCATGCAAGTATGGATGTATGTGTGCATGTGCATGAACATGTGTGCATTTATGCTTGCTCATCATGATTTGACAGTATTGCTCTCTCTTTTCTCTGCATTTGTGTTTATCGCATTGTTGATAAAAAATAATTACAAGGGAACTCCTCGCGATAAGCAGCTTTTTATGCAAAGTCATCGCAGAAGCACGTTTACACACACACATACATCATTATTTGTATGTATGTATTAAAAATAAACAAAAATATTAATTGAAATTGTTTAAACTGATCTAAAAATTGAGTTGGTTTAATCTAGTTTGGAAATCGATATTGAGCCAACGAATTCTTATCTGAGATCTGATCTGATATTTAGCAGACTTTATGGCAGGCGTAATCAACTGCGTTAGAAGCATGACTGTCACTTGGAGACACTTTAAACAATTATACCGTTAACAGTGTTCATTTTTTTACGTATATTAAATACATTTGAATAAATCCAATTATTTTCGCTTTATTTTTGATTATTAATTATTGTTATTATAACTATTAATATTATTGTTATTTAAATTATATTTTTAAAATGTAATAAGTTTTCTAAAAATAACATGAGATATATTTTTTGTAAATATTTTTCTGAAATGCTAACAATATGTTTGAAATGAGTGTTTTTCTCGTCAAAATATTCACATTTGTGAAAGCACAAAATCTTTTCATTTTCGCATTTTTAAAGCGTACGTTTTTTTGCTCACATTTTAAACGTAATTAACAGTTTTCATATGGCAAATCAAAGTGGATGAAATTGCAATTTTTTATTTTGTAATCTGTTCCGTATTTTTTTTTTTGCCTTTGTCGTGCTAATTAATGCAACTAGATTATTATTAGATTGGATTGTATTAAAAAAAAAGTATTATTTATTTGAATTTTAATTAGTTTTACTCCTCACCTTAAGCAGTGTCTGCCTTCTTTTTCTATATAATTTTATCTTTTTATTCGCACAACAATTGAATAGCTGCTGTTGTGCTGCGTAGCTCGCAGGCAAAAAAATATAGTGGAATTTGAACTCATATCGATAAGAAAATGTTGTCTTATGGCAACCAAACACGAAAACAAAATAATTTTGATGGATCAGTTTCGTGCAATTTGAAGCACACCATTCACAGTCGCTGGGGAAAAAGTATTAAAAAATAAAATACATGCAAAATACATAAAAACCACCAAATGCAGCATTTATTAGGTGTAATATTGAGAAAATTGTGTGTTACTTTCTTGCAAAATGACAACGCTCCTGAGCATAACAGCAAGAACACTTGGAAGTAGAGAAACCAGAGCTATATCCTATCATGATCAATTTGGGATGTATCTTAGAAGTCTGGATCAGAATGCCCAAGAACAAATTCGATAGTATAGTTTATTAATATAAAAATAACGTTTTGCCATTATTAACAACAAATGTCAAACAATTCAATATAAGTCTCACTGAAAACAAAGCATCAAACCAAGAAAGATTATTATTTTGGAACTATATTTTTCTGCAGCTTATATATCTCGGAGTTTAATTAATATTAAATCAGACGAGAATTAAGGTTTAGCCCATACAAACTTACCTCTTAGTTTCCACACGGTATTGTGAATTTTCAATACTATTTTCTTTGATATTATTAAAAACGATGTAAAGCAAATCAAAATAAATAAAAAAAAACATCATTTTTTCTACCTACATAAATATTTTTCTTTTAAATTTTCTTTTCCGGTTTTAAATTGTAATTTGGCAATTGATTTTATGCTTTAACACCGAGGGCTAAGTTGTTCTGTTCTTGTTTTAAGAGCGAACAATAAACTTAACATGTTTGCTCATTCATATCTACGTCCGGCCGAGTTTTACGGAATTTGGACCACGCCCACGGGGGCGATAACACGTGAAGATAACGAATGGGTTTATATATGAATATATGACTTTTACGGTTCATGATATGCTAAGACTCTAGTTCAGGGGATCTGACTATTGACTTCATTCAATTCATTTTTAATTCAAGTTAAATAGCAGTAAAGTTTTTATATTATGTGTGTCCCAATCTTTAAAAGCGTAGATAACTCTATAATAACATCAATTAAGATTCTTTAACACACTTTTCAGTTCAGTTGATAGTCATTCACAATTTTACACATTCGATGCGTAGTCATGACATTTAATTAAATTACTGTTGATCGCTGACTTTTCGTTTTATTTTGTTGCCTAAGCATGACATTGCACTTTATTCTCGCTATCCCACCTGGTTCAATGTTCGTTGTCACTTTGAACCAACAGTTGATATTCAGACACTGCCGATACCTGTTTTGTGGAGTGTATCTGGTGAGGATATGACAATGTAGAATTTGCTTTAAAATAAGTCTTGCCTACCTGAGTACAAGGTCTGAGTATTATGTCAGTGTCGAGAACATACTGGCTTGCTGCAGGCTTACCCACGAATTGTTGTGTCTGTTCTTATCCATAAAAGCAAGAACTTTTTGGCATTTCACATAAACCACAAGCAGATTGTCTTTGTTTGCAGCTATATTAATTTCTTCGAATGGGCACAGCTTAGCTTTGGTTCACAACTAAAAATAATTCCCATAGTAAATGAGTTTGCCAATATTATTGTAGATAAAAGATATCTACGAATTTATTCACCTATTTAATGTGGACTAAAAAACGTCTTGTAAAGCTCTAATTTTAAATTAACAATCATATTTTTTCAACTTCGAATCGAGAAATATTATTAGTCGTTTGGAATAAATATTATTCAATAAAATACAAGTTTTTTTTTTCTGAAATATGAAACAATTCAACTTAAATTTAAACGCTACTTAAAGTTATCTCGTGTAATAATTATTTGACTTAAAAAATAAAAATATAAATTTTTAGTTCTGGTTACATAAATATCTGCTTAGAGCCGTTCGCAGTTCTTAAACTGAATGGCTTATCGGGCCTGCAATGTTCACTGAATATAGTATAACCCTTGTCGAATCGTGGATTTTTACTTTTTTAAATAATTATAAGGCAAATATGTCTTTCACTGTTTTTTAATTAATCTTTAGGAGAGATTCACCGAGTCCAGTCCACAGTCAGTCAGTCAGCAGAGGAGTTTCAGATTCCAATATATTGGAGTATTAAAAATAAGCGAATAACATATTTAAATTATAAAAAGAGTTCTGCAAACAATCGAGAAATATTATTATAATTGTAGATTGAAAACACGATATAAATACTATAGTAAATTAATTTTTCAATTTTATTGAAAGTTCATAGTTCATAGAATAAACTAAAAAAAATAATAAATGAATTGAAAATGAATATATATTCCAATATAGACATTGAGATGAACGAACATTCCTCGGACAGTAGCTCCATCTCAACGAGATGTGGCCGCTTCGACGCTGCACGTGCAATCGATGACCACGATGCGACAGAGGACGATATGACATTCTGCATGTCGAACTATGCAAAGGAGGTGCTGAAGATGATGTTCATGATGCGATCACACGGAATGCTCACAGACGTTGTGCTCGAGGTGAAGAAGGAGCTGTTTCCCGCCCACAAGGTTGTGCTGTCCGCTGCCTCGCCGTACTTCAAGGCCATGTTCACGGGCGGACTGAAGGAGTCCGAAATGTCACGCGTTCAACTGCAGGGGGTAAGTGAAGACTAGCCCGATAGCGTCTCCAATTTGTTGTTGCTATAACAGTTGAACAGCGTATTCCATTCTCATAGATATGCCCCACGGCAATGGCCCGAATCCTTTACTTTATGTACACGGGACAAATCCGCGTCACAGAAGTGACTGTCTGCCAGCTTTTGCCCGCAGCGACAATGTTCCAGGTGCAAAATGTCATCGACGCCTGCTGTGCATTCCTCGAGCGCCAACTGGATCCAACCAATGCCATTGGCATTGCCAATTTTGCCGAGCAGCATAACTGCATTGAACTGCAGAAGAAAGCCAATTACTTTATAGAGCGGCACTTTATGAAAGTATGCAAGTGTTAGTGTTATTTGCCAGATTATTGTTACCCTTATTGTTATCCCTATTTTGTTGTGATCGCAGGTGTGCCAGGAGGAGGAGTTTTTCCAGCTATCCACTTATCAGTTGATAGCCCTCATTCGAAGGGACGAACTCAATGTGCAGGAGGAGCGCGAGGTGTACAATGCCGTACTCAAGTGGGTGAAATACGATGAGGACAATCGGCATAGCAAGATGGAACACATTCTGGGCGCCGTTCGTTGCCAGTTCCTGACTCCCAATTTCCTCAAGGAGCAGATGAAAAACTGTGACGTGCTGCGCAAGGTTCCAGCCTGCCGCGAATACTTGGCAAAAATCTTTAAGGACTTAACGCTGCACAAGTGTCCCGGCGTCAAGGAGCGCACACCAAATACAACACGCATGATATTCGTTGCGGGCGGTTTTTTCCGTCACTCCCTGGATATATTGGAGGCCTACAATGTCGACGACAAAACTTGGACAACCTTGCCGAATCTGCGCATTCCACGTTCAGGTCTGGGCGCTGCATTTCTCAAGGGCAAATTCTATGCGGTGGGCGGACGCAACAATAACATTGGGTCCTCCTACGATTCCGACTGGGTAGATCGTTACAGTGCCGTCAGCGAGACTTGGCGTCCATGCTCGCCGATGTCCGTGCCGCGTCATCGTGTCGGCGTCGCCGTTATGGATGAGCTAATGTATGCTGTGGGCGGATCGGCAGGAATGGAGTACCACAACACGGTGGAATAGTGCGTAATCCCCATCACTCAAAATGGGCTCAAAACTTAACCGACTTTTTCATCTCAGTTACGATCCAGATCAAGATCGCTGGACACTCGTTCAGTCGATGCATTCCAAGCGATTGGGCGTTGGCGTTGTGGTTGTTAATCGACTCCTTTACGCCATCGGTGGCTTCGATGGCAACGAGCGTTTGGCCAGCGTGGAGTGCTATCATCCCGAAAACAATGAATGGAGCTATTTGCCTTCCCTAAATACGGGCCGCAGCGGAGCAGGTTAGACATCTATGCTCTGACACAGAAGAAATAAGAATGTATAGGTTTTGTACAATGTCCGTCATGCTGTCTGTCTTGAGCCTTGAAACTTGCCACATATGCCTCATTTGCCCGCGTCACGCAACGTTAAACGTCAATACTAAAATTTGGGTGCTACGTTTTGGGTGCAACTTTTGTTGGTAGGTTATCGGCGATGTCGTTCAGAGATCGGCATCGGCTACGACTACGCCAAAAATTGCAGAAGCATATATCTTCTGTAAGCGTTGAGCGACACTTTTAAGTTAGATTACTAGAAACAGGCAGGAGTAGAAGCTATAAAAGAAGCACTTAATTGCCTAAAGATTTCTAAAATTAGTTCATGTAATGTAAATATATAGATGAATAACCAGGCGGCGATCAACTCTATCAGCGCGATGTTGTCAAACTCCGTAAGAAGCCATCGCAATTCTCTACATGAGATAGCAAATTAGCATATATAGAAGACAACTGCAGAATATAGAAGATAACTGCAAAGCTGATTAGCTAGCTAGAAAAGGCACTCTATTACCCCTCCTCTCGGATAAGGAAGGTATATATATGCCTCTGGCTATCTTCATGCTTAAAATCAGAGAAAAGAATAGACTCAGGTCAAATGACAAATGGCTAAATGCAAACTGTGGTCGAATAGCACGCCAAACCTGGCCCAATTCAAATAGCAAATGCACTAAAGAACTGTAGTTTAAGAGTTTAAGCTCTACAATAATTCGCGCTATAACCCGATAAAATTTGGATTGGCTCATGCTCGACTGCAACGTTTTCACTTGTTCATATATAAAATGTCCATCTGACTGCCAATTGGTCTGAACGCTATTTTTCTTTGACGCTTGTAATTGAATTAAGTTTTGTCCATGAGGAGCTTATTTAGCTGTGTATAACACACATTTTATTAATAACCTTGCCTAATCTGTATTTTTTTGCGGAATTTAAACAATTTTAAAATTACTTATTCAATCTATTTTATTTGGAGCACCAAATTTAATGAGGTCTGATCCAATTTAAGCTTAGCTTAAGATTTCAATCTTACACAAAATATGAAAACTTAAAAGAGGTAAAATTATTTATTTATTTTTATCTAACATTAGAATTTCGGGAGAGCTCTTCTAGGCGATATACAGTGGTAGAGCGCAATAAAAACAACCGTTTGACAATTTTGCGTCGAATGTTCTTTTGATCATTAAAAAACGATATCTCTATCAAATTTTTTTCGGTTTATCTTTTTTCTTCAATAAAATCATTCGACACATTTGTGCGTTGCTCCCAGATATATTTTCTTGTTTTTTTTTTTTTGTAATATATGTATATTTATATATATTCTTTTTTTGGCAATGCGGAAAAAATGAATTTAGGGGAATTGATAGAAACTGTCATTGTATTAACGTGTAAAATGTCTTTATATTTAATTGAACTCTGTAATTTTACAATACTTTTTATTTTCGAATATTTCATTTTATCGCATTTAATGTGCTGCATCACAAAATAGATTTATTATTAATGTATTAGATAATAATTACGAATTTTTGTTAGGAATGGATACAGCATGTCCTCGTAGTCGATAACTCTCGACTATAGCACTCTTACCTGTAACAATTGATAAATAACTGAGAAATAATATTTATTTATTTTAGGTGTTGCCGCCATTAACCAATACATATACGTCGTGGGTGGATTTGATGGAACACGTCAACTTGCCACCGTGGAACGCTATAATACAGAGAACGAAACCTGGGATATGGTTGCACCGATTCAGATCGCTCGAAGTGCACTTTCGCTGACACCACTCGATGGCAAGCTGTATGCCATCGGTGGCTTTGACGGCACCAACTTTCTGTCCATCGTTGAGGTTTATGATCCGCGCACAAACACTTGGGAGCAGGGCACGCCGTTGAACTCTGGTCGCTCAGGTCACGCTTCGGCCGTTATTTACCAGCCCTCGTGTGCCAGCACATTCATGGACTATGAGGAGGGCGAGACGCCCAAGCGAGACGACAGCAATAGTGAGAGACAGACTGAATCGCCTCAGGATCCCTGTGGCAGAGGCCGGAGTCCTAACTTTTCCGACATTACATCGAGTATGCAGTTTCATGCGTCATACGGTGCCGGCGGTTGCCACAACTGCGAAATGGACACAAATGCCAAAAACAAACATTTTAAATGTGCCTCTCAACAAATGATGAAACCGTCCACTCGATTGCGAAAAATGCAAAAGTTTGACGACGACTCGGCGGACGATCATAATCCCAGCATTTTCCAATTGCAAAGCTCCGATCCAGTTCCGCCTGGCAATCAAATCAAAGCGCACAGGAAATGCATATTGATTCCAGTTTATAAGGCCATGCATCAGATATTACGGAAGAGCATCGAATGTCAATTTAAAAAGTATTCAGCAACTTCATGACAACTAGTTTGAACCAGCACCAGCACATCAGTCTTAATACCAATAACATTCATTTTGTAAATCCGCTATTCGCAACCATCTACTCAGATTTTCTATTCCATATTGTTAATCATTCCAATCAAACATTTCTACAACTAATCGATTATATATGTACAAATTCATATTTTAAAAATGTATCCCTCATTTCAAAAGTGTATCACTAGTGACGAAGCATCACGAACGGTGCCAAATTAGCACATGGTAAACTACGTTTATTTTCGGTGAATGTGTTTATGTATTTCAACAAGAATATGCAACAGATATATGAAATAATTTACACCTATACATACATGTATGTGTGTGTCATTATACAACGATAATGTTATTTTAAATAGGCTAAGTAAAAAGGGAATGCATACATTATATATATATTGTACGATTGATTTGGATATTGTACTTTAATAGATTGTACATATGATTTCTAGACTTTACCTACAATTTAAATATTATTAAAAGAAAACAAAATAATAAACATAAAACAAAAGTGCGTGAAAAAAACACAAGTAGCCTATTATTTTAACAATATTTAAAGCATCAAAATTTGAGTGTGAACTTACCATATTTCCATTTATTTCCTAAAATTACAAATATGAACTAGCAATTGGATAATCAATGGCTTCCAGGCCATGATTATAAACACTTGAAAGTTGTAAAAGCTATATATTGTCCATATTTTATTGCCATGCCCACAATCACTCGTATTGTATAGTCAATAATATGGACAAAATGATTTCAGATTCAACTTTAGATTTTCTTTTCTCTCTGGTAAGCTATAGTTCAGTATCCTCGTCTTATGTCCTGTTCGACCGAAAACTCTTTCCGTTATTGATGTATCTGGGTGTTTTATAAGCAATTTCTATTTATACCGTGTACTGTGCTAAAAATGCATAAAAAGGGCGTCAAGATGTTGTGCAAAGTTGATCTAACAAAGTCTTTCAGAAGGAACATGATGATCTCACAATTGGAATTGCTTCAATCTAATCGCGACCAAAACATACAAGATACTATACAAATCTAAAAACAATTTTTGATTGCCGTAAAATATATTGCAGATATGTTGAAATGTATCTTGCAGCCATAAATTACTAAAATGTTTTTGCTGCACTAATAATTTTTATCTTATATTTTTTGTGAACGCAAATTGTCTGCACAAATAAAAAAGATTCAAAGCCAACATTTACGTAAATTAATTTGGCTTTGTACAATATTTGTATACCTAACGGAGTTTTCTATTATGGTTGCATACTGAATTTCTTATTTTAGCTATATATTTAGTAGACGTTCCTACATAGTTACTGTGTGCATCAGAAATATATACATATATCCCAAGATTCATTTAAATACGAAAAAAAATTAAAGTGCCCTAAAACAGACAAATGGGCACGGCTTTATCGATCATATCAATAATATATATAAATGCATATTCGCATCTGCTTCCCTTTGCATTTCAATTCGTGATAAAATTTTAGTATCCTCTGCGAGGGTAACATTATGATTGATATCCTTCATTAAAATTACTAGTTGCCAACGCCAGCATCTACTTTATGAATTCGAACGATCATTAGTGTTAAAAGAATATAGCCTATACCAGATGTGGTATACATAATATTACGTATATATATTTTTACTATACCTAAATTAAAATCAACAAGAATAATTGTAGTTTACAATGTCCTATAACATTTGGTGATTAAATAAATGTAAATCAGATTTTCAAATTATTAAATTTAATTTAAATGTATAGCTATTCACATTTTGTAAACTTTTGGCTATAATTAATTACAGACTCCTTTGTTTGCGAGGTCGCGGCGGATTCCAGGACACAGGCGTGTTATCCGTAATGGAAACAATATTCAAACCGCCAACTTGCAAACCTTTGATAGCCGACTGCAATAAAATAAAACATTATTCTCTATTGAATTTAGCCAAGTATAAGAACATTCACCATTCGTCCAGGTCCAAGACCACGCACTTTAACTCGAACTGTTTTCCAGCCAAGTTCAACTGCTTTCTAAACGAACACAAAAATATTAGCAATCTATATTCTAAATCTAAATTTCTTAAAATCTTACTGCGCTGATGCTGACAGCCGTTGCTTGTGCAGCAATATTTGTGCCTTTTCTGGTATTTTTGAAACCTTCAATGCCGCATGATCGTATAAGTCTTGGCACACCTACAAATAAACACAAAAATAATTACAGATATTTAATATACATATAAATTAAGAGACTTACCTTTATAGTCCGTCACAGAAATAATTGTGTTGTTGGGCGACACTCGAATGTTGCAAATTGGCAATTCGTTGAAGGGAATGCCATTGAAAAGCTGCGTGGCCGTGCTAGCATCGGGAAAGAACTTTTCCTTTCTGTTGCCAAAAGTGAATTTTATTTTATTTATCTTTAATTAATAAGTTATGTTTATGCATACCTGGTGATCAGCGTGTCAATGTCGACAGACTTCTCACCAATTGTGCCCTCGTCCTTAGCCGGCAGAGAGGCCAGCATTTCTTTGCGATCCTCTGCCTTCGCTAAGAATGCACTTGTGTGTAAATACGAGTTTCTGGGGGCAATCGCATAATGCGCACATTGCCTCATATAATGGAATCCAGCCAAAACTGTTGTTTTCATTGACATTTTTCTACAAATAAATAATCAGCAATGTTATTTTGTATAATTACATCACTAGACTCGGAATCTGGCAACTCTGGAATACGGCTGATAGTGTTGGAAAATGTAATTTTCTTTGGGTCTCTAGCACGGAAATAAATATTTTAAATTAATTTTTGCTGAGTTTACTTCATAAATTATGAAGTGCGCTAATTTTATATACGTCTAGTTAGCATAGGTATGAGTACTATACAAATATTTAATCAGAAGAGCGGAAAAAGGAGAACAAGTTTTGAACATTAGAAATAAAGTTAAATAGTAATTTATTTGCCTCGATTCGAAGGCCTATATTATTACTAATTATAATATATGTATTATGTTTAGTCCTTGTTGCTAAATCCTAGGTTAGGTTAGGTAAGCCCGGTAGGCTGTTGCTAAATCCTAAGTAAAATAAAATAAATAATTTATTTTAAATGTGTTTTTTCCGATTTTAAATGTCATACCTTTTTGATTCACTTTCTCTGTAACAATACGGCTAAGTTTTGTAAATCATAAATTGAGCACTGCTAAAAATAAACGAATTTCATTTTTTAACAAAGAGAAAAGGAACTCCTACCTCCGTGGTACTGTTGAAAAAAAAAGAAAAATTTGTCATCTTAAATGGAATATTTTAGCTATTTTGATCTGAGATGAGTGCTAAAATGTTGTCACGAAATCTGCGCGCATTTGGAAATAAAAATTGATTTTTACTACCGATAGTACAAACAACTATCGATTGTAAAATAATAATAATAACGTGCTATCGATAGTAGGAGCAACTATTCTGCGTGCACGTGTTTTACTTCTTGGGTGCAACAGCAAAATATTGCAAAGTTAAAATGGCTCTCAAGCGATTAAAGAGTTAGTGTTCGCATTGTATTTACAATTAAATATGTTAATTAATATACATAATATCTTTTAGCAAAAAAATCGAAGCGTTTGACTGGTAAACTCAAGCACAAAATTGACAAAAAAGTGAGAGAACACAATCGAAAGGAACGTCGGGAAGCCAAAAAGAGCACGAAGAAGGGCAGTAAGAAACAGAAATTGATACAGATTCCAAACAACTGCCCATTCAAGGATGACATTCTCAAGGAGGTGGAGGAGGCCAAGCAACGTAAAGAGATGGAACGCCAGGCTAGCCGGGAGAAGTTCAAAGCTGAGCGCGAACAAAAGAAAACCAAGTCGCTGGAGGCGATGGTCGAAGATGCCGATATGAGGAGCACAGTTCATGGAATAATGCATGAAAACGATGCTGCCGATGATAATGAGAAGAAATACAAGAATGCCAGCAGCAAAGAGCAGTCGCTGAAGCAGTACTTCAAGGAATTTCGCAAGGTTATCGAGAATGCAGACGTTGTCCTAGAAGTAGTCGATGCTCGGGATCCTCTCGGCACCCGTTGCAATGAGGTTGAGCGGGCTGTGCGCGCTGCTCCCGGCAACAAGCGGCTGGTGCTCATTCTGAACAAGGCCGATCTTGTCCCCAGGGAGAATCTGAACAATTGGATAAAATACTTTCGCCGCAGCTTGCCCGTCACTGCTTTTAAGGCCTCCACTCAGGAGCAGGCCTCCAAACTGGGACGTCGCAAAATGCGCGAAATGAAAACCGAAAAAGCCATGCAGGGTGCTGTGTCCATCGGAGCCGAATTGCTTATGTCCATGCTGGCCAACTACTGTCGCAATAAGGGCATCAAAACATCAATTCGCGTCGGAGTTGTTGGCATACCCAATGTGGGCAAGAGTTCAATTATCAACTCATTGACCCGAGGACGTTCCTGCATGGTGGGCAGCACTCCGGGGGTGACTAAGTAAGTAATATACAATATATATTTATGAGTGCATGCATAAGAATAGATAGGTAATATATAAACCTAAAAGATAATAGTTAATTTCATGATGAAACTGTCAATTTTATTCATATAAGTGTATATTTAAAGAAGCATCAAAACCTAACTTGAAACCGCCATACAAAAAAATATAAAAACATCTAAATTATTCCACACACGAAATATATTAGAATTAAATGTTTAGGTTCCTTGTTTATATATTAACTTTATATATACTATAGACATTTTTCAACATTTTTAACAACTTTGGGAAGAGTAGAAATTTTCTTCATTGAACTGATTATTAATATAGTTTTTAATGAACTTCCCGTTTCAAATCTATCTGTTCATAAAAATAGTAGCAGCTGATACTACTATAAAATGAAAATCACTAAACTGAAAGCAAATTTGTTAAGTACAGATAATTCTTAATTTGAACTAAAGCACTCTCGCCTTTAATTAATACTTTTAATTGGCAACAGTGATAATATAGATTACTAATGTGTGTGTTTTTGCAGGGCTATGCAAGAGGTTGAGCTTGACTCAAAGATCAAACTAATTGATTGCCCTGGCATTGTTTTCACGAGTATTGCCAATGAAAGCAACGCCAACTCACATGCCGTTTTAAAGAATGCTCAGCGTGTGGGCGACATCAAGGATCCCTTCAGCATTGCCGAGAGTGTTTTGAAAAGAGCCAGCAAAGAGTACTTCTGTAAAATGTATGATATTACCAACTACGACACTTTCGAAGAATTCTTTGCCAAGAAGGCTGCCAGAATGGGTAAGCAACCCTTATTTATTTATTGCCGCTCTCTAATAACTCGATAATCTAATTTTTAGGTAAATTTTTGAAGAAAGGTGTACCAGATGTTGTGGCAGCTGCACGTAGTGTATTAAATGACTGGAACACTGGCAAGATTAAATACTGTACACAAGCGCCTGAGGTGGTCGACAATAAAAATGCACACATAAGTGCCTCGATTGTCCACACAGAGGTGCGAGAGTTTGATGTGGAAAACTTCGAATCGATGGAGACCGATTTACTGAACCAATGCCCTGGTAAATCGGATGATGTTATGGAGATAACATCTACGGGTCCACTCGAGATACGAGTGCCTCGCGAAGATACACAGTTGGCTGATGCACAGATAGCTGAAGATGAACCGCCGGCAAAGGGTCGAAAGAGGAAATTAGTCGATGATAAGAAAGAGAAACCAGATCCTGTCCTACTGTTAGAGGGTAAATATTTCAGTGTATCTGTGTCGTGATATAAATAATAATTGTTATTATTTATTTAGAGAATCAATCGATTAACAAAAATATCAAAGAGCTGCAAAAAAAGAAGAAAAAACAAAATGTTCGCACCGAGAAGAAAATTTCAAAAATCACCGACGTATTGGACAGCTTCAATTTGGGTTCATCGTCGACGAGTGCTGATAAATATGACTTCGACCAGGATTATGTGATTGAATAATTGCAGTTAAATAGTTAGATGTATGCTAATAAAATGTATATATTCTTTTAAAATTGACACATTTACCTCTCTCAACAAAACTGACCAACTTCTAGTCCTTTGTAACATTGATTTGAAGGTCATCATCAAAAGTGCGAAGTGCGATGACGTTAGAGTACTCCTAAGTTAAGGAGGTCCAGGGATAATTAATTTTTCATGCATGTATTTAATCTATTTTTGAAATGTCTATTGATGTTGAGATGCGAGTTTGAATTCACAGCAATTGATAGGCGTCTTTAAATTTTGCTAATAATCTTAGCGCAGGAACCAAAATTACATTCAATGTGGAAAATGGGCATATAGCGATGATATGAACCTATTTTGTTTTTTCACTATCAACTTTCAGCTCATATTTCAAATAAAAAATTCAAGTATTTAAAACGTATGAAATATAACAGTTCAGTAACAGTATTTCAAAGATCTAAAGATCCGTTTATATTGAAGATTTGTGAGCAAAATTTCTGGCAACGCCCTTCCAAATTTGATATTTCAGGTTTTAGTGAGTTATGGTTATGGCAAGGAAGGCATGCCCGAGAACTTTCTATCGATATGCAAATCGGAGTGAAAATTGGATGAAGTCTAAAGGCTTTATAGGCTTAAGCTACTGAATATATTTATTTTTGAAATTTCAGGACTCGATTGGGCATTTCCGAGAAATTACCGCTCTTTGATGGAGTTTAACAGCTTAAGGCTCCCAAATATTGTCGATTAAAATGCCTGGTAACATAAGGTTTATCTAGCCAATTTTTGAATACAAATAAAATTAAGCTTTCTTCACGTCTTTCGCTGATTTTAAGAACCCCGTTTAGCAGTAGAAAACTAAGAAAGTAATAAAAGTCAATAATAAAAAACCTTTTTCGCAACAGACGTGAGGAAAGATGCATTTTTCCTGTGACCAAACACTTTCTTTACAAACTGAATATTTATTATAATATATTTCATTGTTATTCGACTGCCTTAGTTATCAGAGTATACAAATGCTAACAATTATATACACATATTCGCTTTGGATTATAGATAATAATCGATAGAGCAGCAGTGTCAAGAATAGAATCTATATAACTTCAGATATTGTAATGGTTTTGAAGAGTACAACTTTTTTTCGAAGACGTAGTTTAGCTGTGTACCTCAATGGCCGATGAATGCCAATGAATTTTGCAAGGAAGTAAGCGGAATACTTCTGTATGTCCCATAATATAAATTAAATAGACTTTTTAAAATTTTGTGAAACGGTTTTCATAAAAGCAAAACAATCTTGAAATCTAAATCTGTTTAATATTCGAGTACTTACCTAAAAATATACGGTCAGAGATCGATATTCATTAACCCTGATGACATTCAAATTTGGAATATACTTAACTGAGATGATCATAACATCAAATTAAAATATGTAAGAATTTAATGTATTTAATCCTAAGGTCAGAAGATAGAATAGGCAACTTAATTTTTGATAGTTTTAATAAGCGGAACTGCGCCAAAAGAAGTCATCCTAAATCACATAAATAATGAAAAAATAAATTATATAAATAATTCAATCCAATAAAAAAAAAGAGTGCGAGACTCTTGTAATATTACTTATGGCAATTATGTTACATTAAGAAAATGACAGTGAAAAATCCAAATTTGTAAATATATTGAAATTTTATTACAAAATATTTCTTAAAACTTAACATTAGGTCTACAACTATTAACGCTGATTAAATATTTGATCATTTTGAATATATATACTGTAAGTATATACATATATAAGTATGTACATATACATATGCGTTGCATAAATTCAAAATGACTCAAGTCCAAGCACTTTTTAAAATCAGCTTTCTTACTACAACATATGTATGTATGTACTCGCGTATGTACTTATGCTTTTATAAAAGGGCGTATGGTTATTATAATAATAAATTTTTGGAATTAAAATGTACTTGTGTACATATGAATGCATGTACGTACATATGAGTAGGCACTTTCAGAACTTTCATTGTTTCGAGTGGGCAGATGGCAAATGGCAACCTGATCTGATCTGATCTGGTTCTGATTATGATTCTAATCTGATCTGCAGTGAGCTTAAGTTTCACTGAACTTACTCATTACAATATTCGTCAGCCCGGAAGAATCAGGCATGGACCAAGTTTAATTTCCACAACTTTACTGGAAATGCCTTCAGTTTGCTCAAATTTGCATTTCCTTCATATTGAAAGGCAAATGAGTATAATACTAAGGCTTGATGAAAACAATAAAAAAAAACCAGCTAAAAATCGATCATCACATCAACATAAAATAAAAAAATGCTTGGGCATGATCGATTGATGACAAATTACACTATGACGTTAATTGCAGAACAAAATTTTGTAAATATATTTCGAAGACTACTTTTTTAAAAAATAATATTAAGTTTTGCAAAATGGTTTTTCAAATCCAGTCTTTACATATTTTGCAATATCTCCGGTTATAAATACCCGATTCAGCGAAGCTCAAAATGCCGCCAAAAATCGTTTTAAATTTAGAAACAAAGCGATTATAGTCCAAGCTTCACCCGCATAGGGCTCCAACTTGAGATAATCCCAATGAAACTTGGTTTACAATCGATTTATGGTGTTTTGAATGTATAATTAAATTTAGATTTGACCAGATGGACTCATTAATGCAAATTAAAGCTAGAATGATTAAAATTGTATTTAATAAAAAATCAATTTATATTTGGCTTATTTAAATGACTTTTAAGCAAAAGCTTGTTTGATCGGTTTAATATAACACTAAATATTGTCAAACACATAAATCAAGATTTAAAAAAAAAAAAAAACAGCTAAAAACTTCAGTGTTTAATAAAAAAGAATCAATTTACCACTAATATTAATGGATTTTCAAATAAAATCAGAAAAGTTGGATGGGTTAGAGAATGCTTTGCAGTATTAACGAGTGTTGCAATTTATAAAACCATAAAAGGAAAATCGGGCTAACATTATTTGTACTGAATTTTTGAGCTGCCACTGGAAGAAATAAATATGTGAATTCAAAATCCATCATAAGCCATCATTACAACGGTGAATTTCGAATGTCTATATGCGTATATTACGGCGATTATTAAGTAGAATGCCCGTTGAAATATCAGCAGTTATTCGTGAAACGAGTTTTTTTGTTCTTACTATTTAAAATTAGATATGAACATGAATATTACACACATTTAAAATTACCGAGGTTGAGTTCTTTCTTTGTGCCTGCACATACATACTGGATGTGTGTGTGTGTGGTGTGTGTGTGTGGTTTGTGTGTGTGTTTGTGTACATACATACATATGTAGGTGTGTACATATATAGAGTGAATCACAGGATTTTAATTGTAGCTAATCTTAGCTATGTTTAACAATGAATTACTATTTGAATTTAACACATTTAACACTTCTAGCTTCGTCGTTGCGCATCATGCTTTATACATAAGTTAATTTCGATGTGGCATTTAGCAATTAATTGAAACATTTCTCGTAATAGGTTTAAACTTTTAAAGTACCATATATATATATATATATATATGCACATATATATATATATCGTTTGCAGTCCATTGTTGTGTGGCCCTCCTACTTGCTTGCTTGCTAATCCGGTTGCCGCAATTTAAAACTCCTTGTATTAATAATTTCCGGTAGTCTCAAGATGCACGCCTTACTGCCCAGCCTCGTCAACAGGTTCCGAAGTATTTGTTGCAGTTGCCGCGACCGTTGCAGCACATGTGGTGGCCTACAACACATGTGATTGGTGAAGTTGGTGGTGTTGCTGGTGGTTGAATCAAGCAAACGGAGCGCAGTTGCAGCGCCCGCCGGCTGCTGCTGGCACTGTCACCGCAGTTGACAGAAGTGCACCTCCAGCCAACAGGGACAGCCCATAATGTCTGGCCGCTTGTATTTGTTGCCCCAACCCTTCTCAAAGCTAATCTTCATGCTAAACCGATCAATTGGTCCCAGATGCGTCGGTTGCGACTGCTGGCTAGCCAGCACTAGAGCCCTGTTAATTAATTGGAAGGAGTCACAGTTACTATTATTTTATTATATTTAATTTCATTTCATATATTTACCTGTGTGTGTCGAAGGCTTTGAGACAGTGGCCAGGCATCACTCTGCACACCCGATCCATGCGTTCGGCCAGTGTTGGGGAATCCACGAATACGGGCACATTACTGCGATTGTATATCCACACATCGCCACCTTCCACACTTAGAGTTACACCTGCAACAAAGTCAATTACCATTTCCATTTCCACATCTATTCGTAACCGTATTCAATTGATTCTACTTACCCAGACCCACTTTTTGTCGCGTGCTTTGCACAGAATCGCGTTGATTCCCCTTGCCCTGTAATTCACGCAGACAGAGGCTCTCTCCGGCACAGTCGACGGACCCGTCTGCGTGAATATTGAGTACTGGCTTCGTGGCATGGAAGAGCTCCCCGATGCGCTGAGCCAGCTCCCAGTAGGCGATCTGGCACCACGCTTGTGTGCAGGCGCTTCCATCTAAAATTGAAAGAAAGCAGCTTAGGCTTAGTCTTAGTCTTGCTCACATTCTTAAATGCTAGCTGCGATAGATCGATTAGAAAAGGGCTTCCCAGTGTGCTTAATCTCTTCCTGACAAGTGCAAAGCAGGACAAAAAATGAAGTTTTCAGCAGATACCTCTTCCTACTTGACAGAGGAGATTCCTCCTGTCCTAGATATTGGCATAGCAGGGCTTAGGTATGTGAGTGCTTCGCTTATAGCTATTTCTGAAATATTTCGTCATATTAGTAGTCTGCTTTTGGGCGACTATTGTATTCTCAGCTAGCATGGATGAGTGACCTTTATTCTGAGTTATCTAGCTTATGGATTCTCTCAGTCTTACGGCTGTAATTGTTGCATTTTCTGTGCACTTGCAAAATTTCCTTGCAGAGACAGTTGATTTTAATGATGTGTGTGCAATTGACAAAAGCGATCGCAAAAGTCGACTAAAATAAGTATAAGAATAAGCAGATTTGTTTTGCAATTGCTTAGTCATGTTCAAGCTTGGCAGAGACCTCAAATAGTATTCCGATGTTGACAACTAAATGCCACAATATTAAGAACATAATAACTCCCTTAACTAGTGAATTTCATCATATAAAAAACATCGTTCAATTGATAGCTTATACGTTGCTCAGATGCTGACATGCAGTTGGGGGCATGGCCATATTTAATAGCATATTGATTAACAATATTATAATCGCCAGTTCTGAAAATGGACACGAAAAGATTTTGCACTTTCGCAAATTGCAGCGCGCCTCAATAAGCTCGATTTTTTACATGTGAGGCAAATTTTTGTTTTATGTTAAAATTTATAATTATTATTCTGAATTATTTATTGTTTGATATATTATTTTATTCTTAAGCTGTAGCTTTTAAAGTTCAATATTTGAAATTGCTGTCGCCTGTTAATAGACCACATTAAACAAATACAAAATTTAAAATAATTGAAAGCAACAGAATTCAGAACAGATTGAAAGTAATTGCAAATGTATGTCAACCTGGAAAAGGGGTGCAAGATTAGCAATGGGACGGATTGGTAAGTTGACGTAACTGCTATTGTAAAGCCTAGTTAAATATATGTATCTACAATATCAGTTGAGTTTACCCACAGATGTTTATTTTGTGAACCTGTATATATTAAGTTAATTTATGTACATACATAATTGAATTGCACGCATGCTCAAATACAAATACATGCATATTAAATGTGCTGGAAATTTTAATTACCTAAGTATTATCATCGAAATATGCTGAACATTAAAAAATAAGTTGCTCAGAAACCCCCTGCTGCCTGTGTGAAAATCCCATTGCTTGCAGTTCACGAGTATGGGTGAGAGAGAGGGATGGGGGAGTTGGGGGAGGGGCGTAGCAGGTTTCTGTCGCCGCTTGCTGTGGCGCCAATGCCGCCACAGTTTTGGCACCCGCCAGAGACGAACGGCGGCATTTGTTCGTATCTGAGACGATGTGATGCTTAGCGCCGCTTGTTCGCTCGGCTCTTGTTTTGTATTCTTCGTTAGATATATGTATACATAATAGTATATATATACATATACATGTGTGTTTGTGTGTAAGTACATAAAGAAGTGCGCATCCACGGGGGCTAAAGCACAACACACAACACACAACACACAACATCATCTTTAAATTTAGAACATTTTATATTCTACCTGTGCGTGTGTGTGGCCCCACAGTGTAAGTTGGTAGTTTTATTAGTGGCCACACATGTCGCTCTTGTAAGAGTGTATGTGTATTTGTATGTGTGTGTAAATACATCACACATACTTCGCGCCTGTTCAAGTCAACTTGCTCAACTCCAATTATCATCCCCTTAGCGCGAAATTAGCCCCATTTCAAACAAATATTCTATTTAAGTTGACCAATCTATTTTTGATTTTTTTTCTTCCGAAATTATGTTTTGAATTTTTCAAATACTTAATTTTTTTGTTTCGAAAATAACTGCCGCAAAAGATGATGATTCCATAAATAAAATATGTAATATATTATCAGTGCATTTCAATCACTTGCAGTTGTTGCTTATTTTAGTTGATATTATCTAATGAAAAATAAACTTTGTCAAAATCAATGCCGGTCCAATAGAAAAGTCCAACGGGTGACGTCACTTTACTATGAAGCATTAGTAAAAGAAAATTTATTTATAATTTATTACTTGATGTTCGTGTCATTTGTAACTCTTAATTTCTTCAAGTCTGTAACTCTCTTCTTGTAATTACATTAGCTTAGCTGTGTTAAGCTTTTCTTACTTCACATACGATATTCAAAGACTCGCTTATTTTTTTCATTTTCTTTTTCACTTTTCTCTCTAACGTTTTTACTTTCCTCATTACGAAACTACTAACACTTAAAAATGTCCGGCTAATCCTTTCAATAATTATTATACAATTTTACACTTTAATATCCATGGATTTATTTATTATATTCTTAATTTCATTTTTTTTTTTGTATTTAATTTCTCTTTTAATTTAAAATAATTTAATTCGTAATTCGTATTTTAGTTCTACATTGTTATTTTTAAAAATAGTGGACTGTTATTAGTTATCATTAAATAAGTTGAAAAGATAAATTTATTTAACTGTTTAAATATGGACGAAAATGTTTATACTGAAATACTAATAAATACATAAATACATATAAATTTTAATTATCTTTGGATTTAATAATTTGTATGCATTGTTTTTCTATGGTTCAAATGTATTATTTTCAATTGAATTTTTAAAAGTTTGTAATGTTTAGTCCATTTTTTTAAACTAGAAAATCTAAAAAAAAAAATTATATCAAAACTAAATGAAGACATTGCCAAAAATGTAAAGAAACAACTGCAAGCATTGCTATTTTTCCCTCTCTCTCTCTCTCTCTTTCCTCATACCATTCTCTTTATTCTTAGTTTCTGTATATTAATCATTAACATTTTGAGGTCTGGGTATCCCAATTCCTTGCACTATTTGTTGAATCATTTTACATTCGAATAACCAAAGTAATTTTATTTTTAGCATTTTATACTATTAGTTATGATTTAAGTATTAACTAAACATTTTTTTATTATTATTTAATTTTACCTCTTCAGATCGAAAGTAGAGGGTCAAGAATGTATGCGGCGAAGTTAATTTTCTGTCAGTATTTTGGAAATTGTTGGAAAATTAATTGAAATATAACAAAAAGATAGAAAATCTTTAAAGATTTCGAAAATCTATAGAAATACTTTTGGAGCTCCTTTGGCTATTCTGTCAGTGAGCACGATAAAATAAATATAAGAAAAAGACAGCAAAAACAACAGCTTTCCATTTAAGACCGCCTACCCACATCTCAACATTGTCATTAATTTAAAATATTACCAATGCTTCCCCATATATGGGAATTATATGTTATAGATTTATGTTATTTTGATTATTTTTTCCCAAATATAATAAAACTCGAAATCTAATGAGTTTCGCAAATTTGATTCAATGAACTGTTGGCACACTAAGGAAATTCCTAAACAAATGCGATGAATGCGCTTCCCATCCGAATAATGCAAAAGCTACTCTGTCATTTTTCGCTTCGAATATGCCATAAAAAAAAGTGAGAAAAAACATATTGTTCAATTTGGTGGCGGCGGCGTTGGCGGTTAGCGCCATGAATGATATCATAGTCATAATGCCACTACCTCCGTTCACCCCTCTCCCCCTCTCTAAAATCCACACAGCGTGTGGTGCCGATAACCGGCCGCAGCCAATTCACAGCCACTCCTCTCGCCCCCGCCCCGCCCGCAACACTCCACAAAACAGTTCGTAAGTGCAGATTTTTGCCTTCTACTTCGCCGTCCTCGTCGCCATCACCGTCGCCGACTCCGACGCCTCACTCTTATTCGCATTCGCCTCGCACTGTTTGTATTTGTTTTTCGCTCATTATTTATTTTCGTGTCGTTTTTGCTGTTTTCGTTTAAAAGTTAATATCAATATAGAAAGTGACGACCTGACGCGGCAAGCTGGCGCCATGAACGAACAACTGCCTGCCTGACTCGGCCCGTGCCGGCGTGCTCAAACACACGCACGCGACCGCATACACATACATACACACATACACACACGGTACATAAGCAGCACAGTGTGTATGCTTATTTATTATACTCACCATACATGCATGTATGCATGAATGTGTACAGACGTTTATATGTATAAAAATGAGCACAAAAGCGAGGAGGTTTTTTTCGCTGGCTCTTTCTCAGTGCTCAAAAAAAAAAAAAGAAAAGACGCTCCGAAGATAAGAACAAAAGAGATCAAGAAGAGGCCACGTTTCGTCCGTTCAAACAGAAACACACACTGAACTCACCTTTTCCACTAGTGGTGAAAGACTGGAGGCACTCCGCCGCCTCCTTTTTGATGATGCTCGTCGAAATGCTTCGGCTGTGGTGGGAGCCGCTGCTGCTGCTGCTGCTGCTGTTGTTGTTGTTGTTGTTGCTCTGTACGGTCCACGACGCTGACGACGACTGTTCGTTGTTGTTTTGAGTGTTTCCCTCGGAATCTGGGATTAGGGTGGACCTCTCTTCAGTTTCATAGTCAGCGAATCACAAAATTCATTAAGAAAACCTACCTGTATCTCGGAGTCTCAGCATTTTCGAGCGCTGATAAGGCGGGGGTGCGAGTTCTGCAAATGTAATCAAATATATGTATATATATAATTATCGGTCATTATCTGTGTTTAAGTAATGCAATTGCTAAAAAAAAAATTTATATAGATTTTAAATTTCAGATTCGAAGAATATCTGTGCTTATGTAATTAAATTGTTATATAAAATACATGGTTCATTTTAAATAACATTCAGGTTCGATCATTATGTGTGTTTAAAGAGTAATACGTTTTCCCCATTTTGTGGCAGGCAGCAAGCCGAAGGAACTGAAATAAGCGGATACTATATGCCATACGAAACAAGAGTGCTTAAGACAAGAGAGCTGGCTAGTGCATACCCTATACGTTGAAATATTTGCAATTCGTGCAACGGGGAAGTTATCGATAAAGTGAAAGTATCTTACTCTTGATACGAGAATCTATATACTAAGTCAATAGCTTTTTTTGTGTCTGACATCCAAGTAATCATGTGTAAAATCAGACAAAACAGAAAGGATACTCGGATATTGATGCTAATCCAGAAATGTATATATAATTAAAGGATTCGGAAATGCTTGTGTCTGCTTATTTACCATTTTCACATCTCTCTAATACCTTCTCAATCTTTTGTGATAGTTACAGGGTATATGCCATTGCACAAATTCGTAAATACTTATACATGACTGTATTTAAATGCATAACAGTTCTTAAGTCGCGAATGCCAAACTGAAAGATGCTCTGTACCCAAACCTAACAAACTTTCGTCCTCTGACAATTCTCTTTTCATCACAATACAAAATTTTAGACGAGGTTTGTCAAAAAAGTACACCGATAGAAAGGCATTATCTAATTTTAGGTAAGCTCTGAAAATCCCCTGAAACACTTCTTAAATTAAGGAAATAAATAAGTTAATAGTTACGATTCAAAAACTGAATAAATCAAGCCTGATTTTTAAGATATATTTTATTGTTCAACTTAAAATCCAAGTTAGCTTTAGGATTATAAAATGATTACCTCAATGGAAAATAGTGTTTGCCTTGCAAGCAGGTTCCATTCTTATTGACCAGTTTTTTAAAAAGTGTTTTTATAAATTACATTATATAAATTAATAAAATCTTTATAATGCTGTTATCATTAATTATTCAAATATCTAACTAATAATGCTCAAATCCAGCCGCAATATCGTTTAGATTTATCCACAAATTGAGTTGTGTACATAATAGTGTTAATAATATTAGGTAAAGCAAGTATTTTTCTTTTATTTTTATTTCATCGTTGAAATCAGAAATGAAAAGGATTCAGGTGCTCAGATGACCAGCAATTGTAGGGCAAACTCAGAATACGGATTTAACAATAAGCGATCAATAAATTAATAATTTTGTATATTAATTGTAAGCGGTGTGAAGAGTTAACCAAGACAGACACCGGGTTAAACTGCGCGTGTTTAAGACAAGCTGTGAGCGATGAGATCATGCTTCACAAAAATAGTACAATATTAGTATTCGAGAACACAACACATACAAACATATAAATACAACAGAAACCGAAGCAAAGCATAACAAAAACAATACAAAAACTAAAAACAAACCAAGAAGAAAAGTTTGTTCGATAGTGCATTACTAAAATATACCCTGTAACTAATTCCATTATGTTTTTTTCATTCTGGAATTTTGACAATATCTAAAGTAAAGTAAAGTGTTTCCAGTCATTTTTTTTTAACATTCTGTACATTCCACATTCTATAGGTATGTTGAGAATTTTTGAAATTCGCGAATATTTACTGCAATGATTTGTTTAAGTTCGTATCGATGATTTTCAAGCAAGATGAACGTCTATTTTAAAATGATTACATAGTTATACAAATTTTAACTTTAATAATTACATTTATTTTTTGTAATTCATTTTAATTTAATGCTAAAATCAAAATATTCTTTTCAATTTGTAAATTTGTCTCATTTCGCACAAAAAAAACAAAACTACTACGATCAACTGTTTGATTTAAATCAAGTGTTAATTTTGCCATTCACATGTTAACGACAATGGAGAGTCATAATGGAATCGCGAAACGTCAAGAATGATAATGTAAGAAATTTTGTGCATAGCGGAATCCGGCTATCATAGTCATTCAAATATAATTCCAAACTTCTTATACACGGACATTTTGTTTGGTATTTAATTTGTAAAACCGGTTTAATTAAGATCCGCAAGTACCTCTAAATCTTTTTCATTAAATCTATATAATTATAATGTATATTAGAATCAACAAACATTTTAGGGGACTGTAAGAAATTTCCACTTTTAAATGAGCTTCTCGTTTGCAATATGATACTGTACAAGTTGTTATAATTTAATCGACAATCGATAAGCAATGAGCCGTAGATAGGCCTAGCACATTATATCGATACAATCTATATATTTCCAAGCATTTTTAAGAGTCAGCTGGGAGATATATTTAGATAGATTCTAAAGAGCTTAAAGTTGAAGTGCCATTCTGTTGTATTAATAATATTCTTTTACTCATATTTAACTATTAGGTATAAACATCACTTTGCTTATAGGCTAGATATCATCACAGCCAAATACTTCATTTTCACATTTTGTTTAGCATTTTTTTGGTCGATTATAATAATCAAAGTAGATCACTTAAGGTTATTTATGAGCACAATTAATTTAACTTTAACTACGTCCGACACAAACAAGTATTTTAATTAAAAACACACATTAAAAACAAGAGAAACAAATTTACTTGTCAAAATATAAAATTAAGCAACAACTTCTATTGTGATGCATTTAAAAACAAAAACAAAACTTTGAGTGCTAATGTAATTAAACATTATAATACAGAAATAAAGAGTGTTCTACTAGAACATACCCTGCTCGCAGCCAAACTGTCAAAGACAGACAGAAGGACATGACTATACATTACTAAAGCAAAAATACATAATTTAATTGATTCGATTGTTAACACTCATCGAAAATACATTTAAATTGATTCATACTATAGATTCCTCTTCGTAGCTTATTTAATATCAATTATTAATAACTGACGCAAAATTGGAATCCTATTAAAAAATTTGTTTTAAAAGAGTTATTCACTATATTTGGTATTTGTGAGATCCCGAAAACGTTTTTTTTTCATACGAAGGCTTTTATATTAAATTTGAAATGTAATCGCCTTTAGTTTAGTATGGTATACCCCAATGCTTCATTTAATAGCTGAGGGGAATTATAAAAGGCAGCAAGCAACTTGCGCGGAGCCAGACCAAACATCAGCAGCGTCGAAATAGAAATAAATATAAATAAATAATGTTTGCATATCAGCCGAAGCACCACCACACCACCGCACCACTGGGGACATTTTATTGGCGCACAACAAGTCGTTTGATGTGCGGCACTTGCCGCTCTGGGAGCGGAGGAAGCTGGCGCTACACACGTCAGCAGAGCAGAGGCAGAGTGTTGGTGTGCCTGGCTGGTTAGCTCCATTACCAGTTAAACCTGATTACGTTTGCTACCCCGCCTCACTCCTCCCTCTCTCCAACGCTCGAACAATTCTTGAAGAGCTAACACGAAAAAAGCCAAGCCAAAAGCGAAGGGAGCAGCAGTAAAATTCCAACATCGCCTTAATCACAACACGATGGCTGGCATCCGATCGATCGTCGAGCAGACCGCTAAAAATCAAGTGATTTTTGCTCACCTCGGCTGTATTCACCTGTATTCAACGACATTATTTGATTGATGGGATCGTGTTTGCACAAAATGAAAGAGAAAAATGAACGCTGCATTCGATAGCGATATTTTCATATCGATGTCGACCATGACAATACCCTATCTATTATTCATGTTTCAGTGGGTCAAACTTGAATGGGAATCGGAATGGGAGCCGCATGCTTACCAACTGAGATTCAGAATCAGCATCGTAATCAGAACTTAAATTCAATTATACATACACAAATCGCAAGCAAAATTCTTTTCGGCTTAACACCCTGGTTACAAGCTTCTCCACAAAATTATACTACCCCCGGGAAGGAAATGGTTATATTCACATTATAAAAAAAATAGTAAAAGATTACCAGCAATCTACCATTCCAATTTGTTGACTTTATCTTTAAAATTGTGTGCAAATAAATGGGTTTTAACAAGGGATATCTGACGTAGGCGTATAAAAGCTTATGTATAAGCGTATATTGTGTAAGCTTCACTAGTTTCAAGGGCCCCGAATAGTGGGGTTTCAGTCCACTAATAATGCGAGACATTGGTCATGGGTCAGCCTTCGAAGGTTTATCGAGAATTTCCCATTTGTAGAGACTCCCGAACTTAAATTGTATTGAGGATATGAGTGGAAAACATTTCTCGTTAGGATGGCGCTAGTGGCAAACATTTCTGGCAGTTGGGGGGGAGCTGTGAAATGTCGTATTGCAATGGTCTTAAATCTGACCATCTGAAATCCAAAACTGGATGATTCAATGAACAATGCTTTTTGCCAAAAAAAAAATGCAATCAACAGCAAAAGGTCGTTTCATGGTCAATCCATATTTATTGAATATGCGAAAATTGTAGTATGTCAGAGAAAGTTAAAATTTGTTTTCCCAAAATCGATTTGTAATTGATTGGCGTGAAAATTGTCAAGATAAAATGTTCAATCACGCAATGTACAAAAATAACTTTTTAATTTAAATTTCGTAGAATTGGAAAAAAATATTTATGGTTAAGATAATTTTTGATGGACTGAAATAAATGATAAAGAGTAGAACATTTAAAAAAAAAAAGACTACGTGATTCTAAAACTGTAAATGATATACATTTTTGTGATTTGTTTGGACGAATGTATGTGTATCGGAAATATATTGACTCAAAACATCGAAACATCTTTGGAAAAAGTCATCAGTAAGTTAAGCCTTTCAAAGTTTGTGACTTTAAAACATATTCAAAATCAGTCAAATACTGTGGGTGACATCCATTTACATTTTGAGAAAAATATGAAACTTTTTTCTAGTTGCACACAAAACTGTTGTTGAATTGTACAAAATCGACCTGATATGAAAATCGTCACGAATAGTTTAAAAGGTGAAAGTTTTCATAGTTTTTAGATATAAATTCTAAATATATGAAGATAAAAAATATTAAAAAAAAAAAACTGGAGTTTAGTTTTTTCTATTTTTGAGAATTTAATTTTTTATAATAGAAAATATTGCAAAACGTAGAAATGCAAGCCCAGATTCACAAAAAAAATCCTTTCTTGAGATCCAGAAAATCCAATATAATTAACAAAAAATCTAATATTGGAGTTGTACACAAGTGGTTTTTAGAAATATAAGGTGAGTTACACTTGACGCCAAAAGTATAGTACATTTAAAAAATTCGCGTTTTTTTCAGAGTGTAATTTGTCTACTACTTATTATTTTCGAACCCTCTGCCATGAATGCAATAGACTTAATCATGTAATCTGTTAAGTTTGTTTGTAGTTTATCTGCGATGTCAGCATCGGCCACGCCCACCTCCGCCTCCAGCAGGCGCTCAGCCCATAAAAATCATAAATGGCTATAACTTCTGCCCTCATAATCGCCAAAAGGGATATTTCTGAAAGTCTGGACCGATAAAACCGCATATCTCCCACAATTTTAAAGATAGTCATAGTTAGCTGATTTCAAGGATTTACATTTTCAGGCCACGCCCGCATAGCATACATCTGCCAGAATTTTAAAGTCAAAATTTGAACATAGATGACCAGGAATGTGTTTCAGAGATTGGTAGATTTGGTAACACAAACCCTAATTTTGGCACATGCTATCGGCTGGTATTACTTATTGGTATCAGAGCATTTCGCAGTTATTTCAAGTTAAAATGCATAAGTATAAATTTGTGTTTTTAATTTAATTTATTTTCGTTTTGTATATTTTTCTACATGAACCTACCTGAATCGATGGGGTAAGTCATGCGATACCAGTGCAGTGGGTTGCAGCAGACGTAGACGTAATCGAGTGCACTGGGGCAAGTAGGATGTCGCCTCAGTTCGTCGGCATTCCTGAGTTCGGGCCAGAAGAAGAGCCTGCATGTGAAGACGTGCTGCAGCTGGTCGCTGGGCGAGTTGGACTTGATCAGGATGCACTGGAGATAGCTTGTCGTCGAGGCTGATGATGATGTGAGGCCGCCGTTGCACTTGGGATGCGGCGTTGGTGGTTCGACACGACTTTTCACCGCTTGGATTAGATCGGCGATTTGTTTGCTCTTCAGCTTCTTCCACAGCGCCTCGAAGCTTTGGTAGTACAGCAGATTGGTAGCAGGTTGCCGCAGCAAGTTGCACGTTGAGCTGGGACGCTGACGACTCAGCAGTATTTGGCGTCTGCTGTCCGCTGATCCACTGCTCGAGGAGGAGTCTGTCGTTGTCTCGCCGCCGCCGCAACAGTTGCGCAGAAACATGTTTGCCGCTGACATCGCAAAGGATGCCGCACTTGCCGCACTCGCCGCTGTGGCACAAACAGGACCGTTTTCGTCGCTTAATATGCCGGCGCCAGCATTTGCGTAGTTGCAACCATTCTCGGTATAAGAATAGCTCGAATATTCGTCGATCGCTGCTGCTTCGGTTGCCAATTGATGCTGATGCTGCTGCTGCTGATCCTGGATTTGTGGCAAATAGCATATTGTGTAGCTGGGGAGTGGTGGTTGTGGTGGTGGTGTTGTCCTCGTGGTATAGCACGTGTGCAGCTGAAGGTGGCGTTGATGTTGAGGGTGAGGCGGCTGTGGTTGCTGTTTGGGCATTATCTGTTTCCCATATGCATCGCACGTTGCCCCGGTGTTCTCTGACGCATAACGCCATAGTTCTCTTCTTTTCTTGTCGCTTGGGAATCTCATGGAGGGACATCAAGTTTTTTGGTAACATCGATCCTTATCGTATGCGCATTATTTGAATTTATCAAATTTGTTTAAAGTCGAGGCTTTGCTTTGCTGCTGATGCTTGGCTGATGATATGTCCGGTGGGTCTTGATTCCTAGTTTCGTTAACTATTAAACAAACAAGCCAACACATAAATATATTACATATATATTATATATGTATATATGTATATTTATTTTCGATTTTGACTAGAGCGCCGATTCGCGGTTTTTAATTTTCTTTATTATCTCGTTCAATAGGCTTTCAGCCGTGATATGCTCGTGTTGGTAATTTATTGTTTTGTTCTCTGCAATAAAAAAAGGAGAAAATCAATTGATTAATTTTTGACTCGACACGTAATCACAATTATAGGCAAGTAAGAATGCTATATATATACAGAGAGAGAACGAGAGAGAGAGTGAGGGACAGAGAGAGAGAGCTCGACTCGGGCACACCCTGTACCCAAGTATTTTCCTATAGCTTACATGACGTCCTACACTCAGAAATAAAATTGAGCTGCATTTTTGAAAAGCGCCTTAAAAAGTTTATCTTGTGTCTAGGAATAATTTCTAAATATATTCTAAATTTTTTTTAATTAGAAAGTCTTCCTTTGCTGTGAAATATATCTTTTAATAATTGAAAATATATTTCTAAGAAGTATAGATGCAAGTCAAGATTCTTAGAAAACATATTTTTGAAAAACTAAGAACATATTGTGGTAGATATTAATAGTATAAGCAAAGCTAATTTTAAAGTTATTTGTACATATATGAAAAGACTACATTTACGAAAAATGTACCCTGGAATTAAGAAAGAACTCTGGAATTTAGATATATAGTTTCTGAATAATAGGATGAGTAACCGAAATGGTTTCTGGATTTTATGGCTTTTTTCTATTTGTCAGAAAAATACTGCATTGTATTTATATGAATGATAATATACTGTACAAAGCTAAATATTTGGTTGTTGGCCATTGTTAGCTAAAATGCCATTAATTCGCTGAAGCGTTGAATCTTTTTTTTTTTGTAATTCATTAGTTTGACTCAATGATGCATTACGTTCTATGACGAGAAACTAAGGATAATCAGATAACTTTCAAGATTTCTTAGGGTCGTTTTTCTGTTTGAAGACAATCAACACATTTCATTCTCGACATCTCACTTTCCAACATTGATTTATGGCTATTAATAACCAATGAATCGACATTATAATATTGAAATTTAAATATACCAAATTAAGAAATTCATATGGATTAAATTCTATACCAATATCCTGGCATCTTCGTTTATGATTGTTAATTAAGTAATTTAAAGCGTATTTTTTTGCATTCGATAATCTCCTCACCTAATCAATAAAGCTTTTTCCAACACTCAAAAAGATCTCAGACAAATAAGACGGAAAATATTGCATCAGCTCTGAGTTTATAATAGGGATAGTTTTTGTTACGAAATTAAAAATATGTATCTTTACTTGAGGCTTTTATTGTTATCGATTTTTATCGATATTGGAAACCTTTGAGGTAGTTATCGAGAAAATTAATTAAACTGGAAGATTTAAAATCTCTAGCTCCTATATTCTTTACTAAATTGACTCGGTTGTTGATTTATTTATTTATTGCCGACGAATAACATTTAATAATAAGCATTTAAATACTCCCTAAAATCTTTTTTATATAGTGTTATTTTATTTCAAATATTCAAATAAATTTCTATTTGTATTTTTCTGTGTTGAATGATATTAGTCGACATTAATTAAATAAATAATTTAATTAATTATGCATTGATACTTGAAAATACATTTTTCGGATACATTTCGAGAAAATTCCGCTTTAAGCTTTTTTATAAAAGTCCAATTCACATATCTTTGCGGAATGTTATTTCATTCCCGAGTTATTTTGCAGTTTTTGTCAATCATAAATAAATTCTACGTTTCTCAACCGATTACGAATTAACCTCCATTTATTTATATTATTCCTACCGAAATGGAAGGCTTCATATTTGAAATTGTACTTTTTTTTATTACATTATCGGAAATCGCTTTTTATCGGGAAAAGTTATTGATCCAGTTTAATACAGAGCTCTCCCTTCTATCTCATTAATCAATTTTAATGGGTATTTAGCTAAAAATAATATTATTATGCAACTTTTAACTTCTTAGCTGTCATGCTTTCAGCCTAATCAGATTATAAAATCATATGTATATATATAATTATATATTGATTATAGATTTCCGGTAATGTTTCCGACCTTGGCGTCAAATTTCTCAAGTAACTTTAAGCTAATTAATTAAAGTAATGATTTTAGAACATCTTTATATGGAAACCTTGACAGTTTGAAGCAAATTGAACAAAAGTTTCGTTTTTTTTTTATTGCTGAATGCCAATTGCATTCATTTTTCATATGTAAGCACTTTCTTCATAGGCCAAAAAATGGATAATTTTTTTAAATAATAGAAATGTTATGTTAGTGAATCTTTTTACATTTTTTTTTTAACTAGTTGTAAGAGCTCAATTTAATAGTAGTAAAATTAGAAAAATAAAAGGCAATAATAAGTACATTTTATTGCAGGAAAAGAAGTGCAACCAGTGAAAAAAACACATTTTTGACAGTGTCTAAGTTAAGTTAAGTTTACTTAATAAATCTTAATTATTTTTTAATTAGTTGTAGGAACTCCATTTAATTGTAGCGAAATAAGAAAAATGTATACACAAAATATATGGCAACAATAGAGAACACAGATCTATGAAAAACCGATCGAAACACGATGAAAACCAAAAAATATACTCGCAAAGCATTTTTGACAAATTTATTGGAATTTTTAAAAAATTTCGGCATAGGAATTAAATTGACTGAGAATATTTCAACTTCCTTTTTTTCTATTGAACAGCTCAAAAGTGCCGCACAAGGAAAGAAGAGGAGAGGGGAGGAGAAACAATGCGCAGGAGTAATCAGGAGAGGAAAGGAAAGAAGAGGATCAGGGTAGCAGCGTCACTCACACAGCCACAGACAGAGATGAGGTTGCCAGAGTTAACAGAGCCCAAACACAAAAAAACTGTGGCTGGCCCCCTACGATCATCATCATCATCAGCAGGCAGGCAGAAAAGCAGGCATTTCTTGCGTTCCTTATCTCGACGACGACAGTGGCGCCGACGCCAACATGACGGCACACACACACACATATATATATATATATATACATGCCTATTTATGTACAATGTATAAACATATCTATATGCATGGATGTATGTGCGTATATATACATACATACGTATAGAAGCATACTCACACACACACTTACTCAATTTGCTTGCGTGCCAGCAGCGAAGGCAAAGCAAAAGGCAGCGACTCGACGCGAGAGGCGAGACGGCAATGAGGCACAGGCGCCACAGTGGGCGCCACTGACGTAAACGTAATAAAAGAAATAATAGTAACGATGTCGGCGGCGGCGTCGTCGTCGCAATGGCGCCAGCAATATAAACTTATATCAGACAGACACGAACAGCGAACAGCGACAACGACAACGACGACAGCGCCAGAGAGCTACAGTTAATGCTACACCGACCGACGGATAGACGGACGGGCGGACGGACTGACGGTCGTTTGGTTCGTCGTTCGTTCGTTCGGTCTTTTTGTTAGCCGGTTTGACAAGTTGAAGAATCAACTATTTGTGAGGTGAATTGAAACGAGAGAGAGCGAGAGAGGATGGAGAGAGACCAGAGAGAGTGAAGGCAAGTGCACAGGAGAACGGAGCGTATTGTCAGTGTGTGTGTGTATACGAAAACATATGTGTATGCTTTAACGAGTATGCGTGTTTGTGTGTGTGTGAGAACGAAAACACATTTCCGAATTCTTCTGAAAATTCAACAAGTATAAAAACGTGAGTCTGTGATTGTACTCGAGCAGGGGAGGTGGGGTATGCTGCACAATGTGGAACAAAGAAAACACACAAATGATGTACACCGAGAGCATATTATTATTGCCAGAAACACAACAAAATTGCAATTTGCACACATACATACATATATCCATGTATATGTGCACATCTGTGTGTTCATTCGCGCACTTGTCGGCTGTCTTGCACAACTCAATCTATACATATAAGCAAGTGTGTACATGTGTGTGTATTTGACATTTGTTGGCGCCACTCACACCCACACTAAAACAATGTAATGGCGCCGGTTTAAGTTCACACACACACAAATGCACATACATGAAAGAATACTATAATACAAAAAAAAAAGTGCTTACGTACATATATACATACATATTTGCATGAGAATATATGTAAAATTTGTACATAGATATTGCATTTTATTTTTATATTATTTTTTATTGCATTTTAAGCAACTCGTCTTTTTACTTTGAAGAAACTGCAATTAAATGTCTTCACTGGGTTTTCTTGAAAATCTTCGAAATGCAACACTGGCAACACTTTTGATCCACATATCTATTTTTCGTCTTCTTCTTGACAAATAAAAAAAATTTGATGCGTTTCCTGTTAAAGGCTGTTCTTGTGATTAATGACTATGAATGAATACAGTTAATGCATTTTGATAAATATTATGGCAACGATCGAAGATATCGTTTATCGATATTATTTTCGTTGAAATTAGCCCGCTAATAAAAACGGTAAAAGATAAGCAAATTCACAAATTATATTTACACATATACACATACATATATCTTTAGATAGGCTCTTTATATTTGTTTGATCAACTTAACGGAGTGCGCTAGAGACTATGTAGCTTTATTCTATTGCATAGAAAGTGTGCCTAATGCTTTTCGGATTTTAAGGTCAGGTTGATCTTTTAAAGATTATTATTATTAATAATTGGGATTCATGCACTGCGACCCAGCAAATCTATTATGCCCCCTTCTGAGCCTATCGCTCTTTTATCAACCCCTTCTCCCGCACGAATGTAAAAATCTGGTCTGGTTGAGTGTTTCTAAGCTCATCCTCACGATACTTCATCTTTTCCTACCTAAGGCTTTTTTGTTTTCACAAAACCGGCATAGTTCGCTACTAAAAAATACCTAATTTAGATAGGTGACTTCTTTGTCTACAACGTGCTGTAAATAGACCGCTGAGTATACTAAACCTATTCTTTCCTTCGTATTTTACCTTCTTAAATCGCTCATGATTATAGCCATCCAGAAGACATTTGGCTTGAAGGAGATCTGGTGCTTCTGCCCAGTTCCCTTGTCGCCTGTCTTTCTTCGTTTCTATGTTACAGTCGCATTGTGTCTTCCTATGCTACAAAACGTTCTGGTCCTGTTAGATAATATGCTCTCAATACTCTCCGACCCATTTTCACTTGCTCATCAGCCTATTCATTCCTCGCTATATCCTTGTGACCCGAGACCCATCATAGGATAAGCCAATTGTGGGCTCCAAGTTGGTCAAGCTTGAGTCATGTCTCTCTCCGTCCTCTTAAAAGCATTCATTGCAGCTTAACTGTCGGATAGCATAGTTATGTCCGTATTCTGATAGTCATTTATCAGTTTGAAATTCGCACATTTGCTTATTGCACACACCTTAGCTTGAAACATGCTAGTGTGAAAGAAGTTGTTCATCTCTTTGGCTTAGTGATTGCCCCAACCCCTTCTGCCGACATCCTTAATAGCATCACTTTGTGTTGGACTCTTATATGATGAAGTGGAGTGCGTTCCATTAAGGCTTCGAAGGGCATTGTTGGGCAGGTGCGCATTGCTCCTGGAGCACGCTGATATTGTATTTTGTACATGGGTGCGAAAGTTTAGTCTACTTTCAAGTGTGACTCCGATGTATTTTACCTCCCTTATTGTTTCTAATGGGGTTCTTGAAAGCCATATTTGCTTCATTCTCTGTAACTTATATTTTCTTATAAAGGGGGCCATGACTGTTTAGGATTTAGGTTGAGGCCGAACACCAGTCACTCGATATCCAAGCCGATCCCCTACATTGAATACTCGGGCTCACAAGTCTTCTAAGTAGTTCGTTTACTAACAGGCTCCAGATTAGTGGAGACAATAAGCCCCCTTGGGGACATTCTTCAGTGTGTCTGAGTTTGCTTATTTTAATCTTAAAATTGCGCGAGAAGTAAAGGTTTCAGCGATTCAAACTACCAGTTACATCGAGGTAATATCGACTTATTATCTTAGCACTTTATTTAAAGCAGACATGTTTGCGTAAATATTGTCTGTCAGAAGTGAATAGCTTGAGGCCATCGAAAAAAATGAAGATTTCTTAGGAAATCGAGAATGATATTTTTCTCTCTGTAATTGTTATTTGTTACCAAAATCAGGAAAAAACAAAAGAAACCCAACAGTCCCAAAATTTATTCGTAACATTTAAGATTAGTAAATTTCTTTGAAAGAAATTGAAAAAAAGTCAAATTTTGATTGGTTGTTAAAATATGTTTTTATCTCAGATTATAAACATATTTTAAATAAATTAGAAAACTTATATACAATAATTAAACAAATTTTTTTTGCACGTAAAATGAAAAAAAAAAAACTTTTTTTGTCAAAACACTTTTTTGACAAACAGTATATCGACGACCGACATTCGATATCGATAAACATGTGCGCATGGACATAGATCCAATTGGGAAAAGGGGATAACTATTTGTATATATAACAATTTTTTATTTATATGGTTTATGGACATATTCAATTTTTCAGAAACACTAAATACGAATGCCCGAAAATTATCAGTATAGAGAAGTCTTATCGTTTTTATAAATAGTAATTGCATAATTTCGATAATAATCGGTTGACAATATTACTTGAATAATACAATACTGGAAAGAAAATGTTTATTACTTACTTTGTTAAATTGGGTTTATCCAAATATATCCGTAATATCGCGCGTTTGTATTAAATACATCAATCTTATGGGTTATTTCTTGCAGTGCTTTGCAATTTATGATATATTTTTATTCTGATATGTATTTGGTTTCTTTTTCAGTACACTTTTTTTTGATTACATATTCCTAAATATGATAAAAACACATTGATATTTTTAGCATTATATTATTTGTTATCACGGCATATTAAGATTGATTTTCGAGCGCTGAGCTTGTTTATTTTATAATTATTTTTGAAGTAGGCGCTTTCAGCGATCGACATTTTTCTGCTTCTTTCTTTTTGACTAGTCAGCAGCTTTTTTTTTTTAGGTCTACTACTCAAATTACACACACACATATATACACACACATACATAATAAATGTGGATCTTTTAAAATTACAATTTTGCACAAGTTTTCAATTAACAATTATTTTTGTTGAGCCCATTCTCTTTTTGCTAATACAAAACCAACACAAATAGAATGACATAATCATAAAAAAATAAAAGTGCCGATTAAAAAAAATGAATCTGCTACGAAATTCAAACTTCCTAAAAAAAATTGAATAAAATACGAAATACCCAGTGGGAAGACTAACCAATAACCAGAACTGCTTGCAAACATAAAACAAACAAATAAAGAAATATACATCAAATATATGCTCAAGTAAAAGTATACGCTGAACACATTAAATATAGTTATTATTATTTTTATTAAGCATAAACATATGTACATATAATATAAATATATGTATATTTAACATAACGTTCTTCACAATGTGTAAAATATGTACATTTATAATCACTTATTATTGCTTCTGTGTGTATTGATTGATCAACCTACACATATACCACGACTGTTGTTATGTATGCATGTGTGTAGGCAAGTATGAATGTACATATGTATATATGTGGTTAGTAGACGACGCGTTTGATTATAATTCACAATGCAAGCACTTCTGTTTTTATTTATATTTTGTAGATTTCACATTAATGTTGCCGTTATTCCACTTTTAATTGAATTCACAATATGGCTTACATTTTTGCTTCACTTTTAACTTTTGCACAAATACAAATACTTAAGAGTAGTATAAGTAGAACTATAAGAAATGCTCAGTGAGTCGAAAATAAAATGTTAAAATCAACATAGAAACGCGGCGCTTGCTTTTGTCGCTTATTACATTTATTTGTTGGATACGCCCGCGTTTGCAACAAAAATATGTTCGTATAGCAACCGAAATTCACGTCCGTCCACATTGAGAGTTTCTTGCGTTATGAGAGCATGTGAGTATTATTTTTTTGTCTTCTATTTCTTCAGTGTGTGGTGAGTTTGAGTTCTCGGCGCTCTCTCTCTCTCTCTCTTTCGCATACAACTACAGCCGTCATATTAATACAGAAACATCATACCAACACTTATACTCAACACGCCGCGCACCACATATTAACTCACTTGATGTTGGATGCACGCAATTTCTAACTCACGCTAAGTTAGCTGCGCGCAATTTTGAACTCCATGTGGTTGGCTCGATTATTTAAATTTTGATAGAATGTGTGCATATCAATATGAATATGTTCTGAACATGACAAGACCTGTAAATAGCAATAAACTCAAAGAGTGTCTACGTGAATTTTGAAATTTTCACAGTAGTTGGCTTTTTAGACGTAATTCAGCATAAATAAGTTAGCTTAATAGTAAATAATAACTATTGAATGAAAAATATGAATGTTTTTATTTCTTTTCTTTTTCGGATAATCAAATGTTATTCGTCTGATTCTAGCACATGTAAAATTTAAGATAATTGATGTATTTACGCACTGAATGCAGCAGATAAGCGAATATATTTAAAGTTTCGTCTAGACATTAAACCTGAAACATAAGTTTAAATAGAAGCAGACAGACAGTCAGTCGGACGGATGGACATCGACTACATCGAATCAAGAATAAATATGCCTTATGCGATCGGAATCGCCTCTTTAAATTTTTCTTCATAACCAAATCATAACACCCACAAAATTAATCCTTACAAGGCCCTAGCTATTATAAACTTTTGTATTATTGTCTTCATATAAACGCAAACACATGCTGTCCGTCCGTGCTGCATCCGATAAGGTCAACTATCAATAAAAATCGATAGTTAAAATTAAATTAATAAGGGTTTGATCCCACAATCATTCACTAAAACCGATATTTCTTGAGATATAAATTGATAAAATCATATATCTCACACAATTTGGAAGCTAGAGTCATCAAATATGAATGGCAAATCACTAAATTTGTTAGCCTCATCAAACTTTGACAGTATATTACTAGGAAACTTCAATTGGCATTGTTGAGCGAATTTCATTATTTCCGCCACGCACCCAAAAATCGCAAAACACTATATCTCCCACAGTTTCAAAGCCAAAAAATTAAAGGGATACATTATTATTTTTGTAATGGTTCATTTTTCTTTTAACCCACTGTGAATGGGATATAAAAAGATTGATAGTCACCGAAATATTGGCTCGGGTATTAATGAAAAGATATTTGCATAAATTAATTTTATTTACCATTAGCAAGGGTATAAAAAGTGCGAAAGAAGAGATGAATTGGGACCACTCAGAAATATCCCACATATTCACAGCGATCAAGGACGTATCATTTGCAATTGCTGCGTTCATCTCTGTCGGACTCATGGCGCCCATTTACGGACACACACAGATACACACACACACACACACTCCCAGCGGTCAAAAGAGATCAAAGAAGGATCGGTGAGTATGCTGGTCTGCTCAAGCAGAGATAATTGTCTTGGGCTCGGACGATTCAAAAAGAAAAAAAAACATAAAAGCAAATAGGCAGCTGTCATTACGATAATAACAGGTCGGAAACCGGGAACCGGGAACCACGATGACGTCGACTTCACTGCGACTCTGAATGAGGGCTTGGAATAACTTGAGTTGAGTTTCTTATAAAAATTAAAACTGATGTTATGCAAATTCTTTCGTTCTACATTGCAGCTCCCGAAATTATTGAGGCCCATCGAAGTAAATGCTATATTTTTAAGGTGTACACATTAAAATTTACATGATCTACCAAAATTGAGAAAGTGCTAACAGTATATAAATTAAGTTGGTGTGTCAAGTCCCTACACAATATATGGGCTCTATACGTTTGATGTAAATGTTGCAACAACCCAACGTGGCGACAGACTACCCAAAATTAATTTATGTAGACTATGATTAATATATCTTTATTCGTAGGTTCCACAGTTGATGGTTAGCTTGATAATGACACACAGAAAAAACGACCTGCATATTAGAAAAACTCACTTTATTATTCTAAAAGAATATTCTTAAAAAGCTGTTCTTTTCTGAATTTCAGGGTATATCTTTCTAAAATTAAAAACAAAAAATGTATAATTTTCATATGTGTGTACAAGCAACTCTAACATTAGCTTTTTGGTGGCTATATAAAAAGCATTGGTATTTTAAGATTTTACACATTCAAACATTTTAGACAGTTCATAAAATACATATCATTTAATTTGAGTTGAGTGACTTCTCACAGAGTTACATGATCTGTGAAGCAAACGACAGCTAAACCCTATTATAAAATCCGAGCCCCTTAAATTTCTTCTTACTTGTTTCTTAATTTTAAAAAGAATTTTTTCTAAAAATAAGGGTTTTCATTACTAGGACTGTCGATTTAGGGGAAGCCTTTCTAATTCTTACAAAAATGTTTTCTTATATTCAGAAATTATTTCTAAAAACATGCTAGACTTTCATGTATGCAGGGCAATTTTCGTTTTGGACCGATTTTCGTGTGTAGGAAAGAAAAAGTTTCCATTTTCAAACGAACAATGGATTTTTTAGGTAACAACTATCCTTCCAGTGTATGTAAGTGTTATGCATCTGATTTGTTTAATTTGACTTTTAATAAAACTGATTATATAGATAAGTGCATAGAGACATTAGCAGGTGCCACAAGCATTTCTATTCCACCATGATTGATAACAATTCACGATTTGACAATTTGATAATTTGTTTGTATTTCAAAAAGTACATGGAACGATAACCTTTGTTATATAACGTACATAATAATTATTATCAATATATCAATTATGGTATAGTTTGATTAAACTTACAAACATATTAGTCACAATACAGTACCAATGAAGAGAATTAAAAAACAATCGCCTTTGATTATGCGATAATGTATATTTGGACAACAATCGTAAATAATGGAAATAATCTTGGTGCGTTAGGTCTTGCTTACGTATTCTCTTATTATTATTATTATTATGCTTATTTAAACTTACTTTGGTATTTGTACTAACAAATAGAACAACTTTTAAGATCATTATAAGTGAAGCAACAGATCCGAAATGGTTAGCACAGTTTGTATTACAAGTTTGAGGTAGAAAAACTTATAATCGGAACTGCAAAATTAACGTGGCTATTTAAGTCGGAGCAATACATTTTCTTACTTATTATTTTGTCTAGGAAGCGTGATGCTACGATCAGTCAGAATAGGATGTATATATGTACAGCTAAGCTAATATTAGTATTCCAGTTAATTTTTGTACAGATTCTATATTCATCTGATGAACCTTATTATTGGAGGACCATTTACAATATCCATATTTAAGAAAAGGACTCACTATAGAATAACACAGGTATCAAAGGATTATCGACATTTTTAATACGATCAAGTGGTTTGCTATGCAGAAATTAATTATGCAAAAATGTAAATCTCCTATAAAAAAAACATTACACTTAATTTACATTTATCACAATTAAGATGTAATAAATTTAATTTATTTACATTTTGCAAATTTTGTACTTGTTCTTCACTTAACACATGATTTCAGTGATTAATAAATCAGCAAATGATTATTAACATTTGTTTTTAGAAATATTATAAAATCATATATTAACAAGTTTAGTGAAAAATTGACTTTTAAATTCTTGATTCAATACTATGTTCAAAAATACTTCAATTACTTACACATATGCAATATATGATAAGTAGGCTGTGCACAAATCTTTCATTGAGTTTCTTCTTTCTTTTTAATTGCGATTGATTTCTGAATAAGTTGAGATAATTGAAGTTTTTGAAAATTCCTTCTCTATACTATATTATAT